AGGAGGGACAAAAGTGACCCACCTTTTCTACATGGATGACCTCAAGTTATTCGCCTCCAATCATTTGTCAGGCGGGAACAAGGCACGTGCTTTTAACGGCTGGGTCATGCCAGTCCTCATGTATACCTTTGGCATACTCAGGTGGACTCAAACTGAGCTCAACGCCCTGGACCGAAAAGTCCGCACAACTATGACGTCCCACAGAATGCATCATCCGAGATCGTCAGTGATGAGGCTGTACCTTCCGCGGAAGCATGGCGGGAGGGGCTTTTTAAGCGCCCTCACCATGCACAATCGCGAGGTGTGCAGCCTCCGTAACTACTTTCTGGCGAGATCGGATGAGTCAATCTACACGGACGTCATTAGTTGTGATAAAGGACTTACCCCTCTATCCTTAGCCAACGAGCAATGGCAGGACCCGGGAGTACTGAGCGTTTCCGACCGAGAGGCTGTATGGAAGGAGAAAGAGCTCCACGGGAGGTTCTACAAGGCTCTACACGAGCCTTTCGTAGATACTGTTGCCTCCCTGAACTGGCTACGTTTCGGTGACCTCTTTGGGGAAACCGAAGGTTTTGTCTGTGCGATACAGGATCAGGTTATTAAGACGAACAACTATAGGAGATACATCCTAAAGGATGGCACCGTCGACATCTGTCGAGCTTGTCGCCATCCCGTGGAGTCGCTTCGGCATGTTATCTCCGGTTGTTCCATGCTTTCTAACTCTGAGTATCTGCATAGACACAACCTAGTAGCCAGAATCCTACACCAGGAGCTCGCTCTGAAATACGGCCTCGTGGAACGGAAACTGCCGTATTATAAATACTCTCCGGAGGCCGTGCTCGAAAAAGACCGCGCCAGGCTCTATTGGGACCGGTCCATCATCACAGACAGGACAATTGTCGCGAACAAACCTGATATCGTGTTGATGGACCGGGCACAGTCGCGGGTATTTTTTGGTCGACATTACCATTCCATATGACGAGAACCTCGTGAAAGCCGAAACAGATAAGAAGACGAAGTATCTGGACCTGGCTCACGAGGTGACCGACATGTGGGGTGGTGTGCCGACCGAAATTATCCCGATAGTCGTGTCTGCGAATGGGTTGATCCCAGTCAGCCTCTCTAAACATCTGAGGCGACTGGGACTCCGGGATGGATCGCTCCAGGCTCAAATGCAGAAGGCGGTGCTCCTCGATACCGCCCGCATCGTCCGCCGGTTTCTCTCCCTTTCGCCCTAACCCTCGGCCGTTTGGTCTCCCCTGCCGAGGGTTTCCGTCTGGTTGGGTCCTATTTATATATGTATATATAAAATATTTATATATATATGTTTATTTTTATCCATAATATTTATTTTATATATGCAATATATATCTATATTTTTATTTTTATTTATAAACCCAACCAGACGAGAAAACAAATGAATATCCCCCTATAATAAAAAGAATATACTAATACATATGCTTAAGTATATATATTGAATTTTATACCTCGATAACTATGTGATATGGTAAACGCTATTCTTGGTCTTTAAATCAAGTGAAGACTGATAAAGAAGTGTTATAGGCTGCAATGATGACTGCAAACCTAGCGTTTTAATTATTGAGGTTTGGGTTTTTGGTAGGAGTTAGTGCCAATATATGTGTTTGTTCAGTAATTTATGTTTGTAAAAGGTACCTAGAACACATGATTATCTAATTTTATACGCTTGGGTTTTTAAAAAAAGATTAAGTAAATGAGACTCTGATTTAGCTTCTACGATGAGATTTGAGCGAAATATAAGCTGGTTTTTTCTGAATGAAATAATTGCCCGTTTAACAAGATCGTATTTTTCTAGCTAAATAGATGCCGAATACAAAATTCTATGTTTTTTAAGTCAACTCTGCCAGATTCAATCATAAACTGAAATATTCAAATAGCTTTTCTCAATGTTTGCAGATAGGTTGTCAAAATATTCATTTTCTACCTTTGGGTTCTAATACAGCACGTCGATAAGTCATTGATATTTTCGATTTATGTTTTAATAATACACTCTGTCAAAATCAAGGAATTTTAAAGTTTCTCTTGATATCATCATCATAAATCGGAGGAATTCCACTGTTGAACTGTTGTTCAACAGTTTGCCTCCCCCTTTGAACGCGACAATAATGTTGTTTTAAATATGTATTCACATATCTACAGAAACTTTCTTCGTTGGCTTCTCTTGGTAAAGTTCCCAAATTCTGCACAACATATAACAATCGAATATCTAAGAAAGCGAACTCAGAAGTTTACGTTATCGAAGACACGCGTGTCCGCTGTAGGTATGCCTCATCTGAATGCGTGACTGCGCGGATTCCGACGCGTCGCGATGGTCGGAGAAACGCCGTCGAAAGTAAAACTCCGCGTTGGATCCGATCGATTAACCAGTCGGCGGTTGACTATAACGTCGCTGACATCACTGCCGAAACGGGTTTGGTTGTCCGTCTAAGCATCATCTTCTGACATTCAAAACTACGTAGAGCGACGAAATGTCTATAGATACTGTGATAAGTGCATGTCAGCTAGTACGTATCCGTTTGCTGGGCAAAGGGGTTATATAAGGGCGTAATATGATGGTACAGTGCGGATTGAGGGACTTGATAGTCATCGTTTTCGTCTTATCATTTTTTCTCATCGTCTGTCTCTCTGTCTGTCTATCTGTCTATCCGTCCGTCCGTCCGGCCGTCTGTATCTCACGAACCGTGATAGTTAGACACATTTACAGATTTATTTATTTAGATTATTCACAGATAATGTATTAATGTTGCCCTTAGCAAACACAGCATATACAATGAAAATATTTAATATATTTAAATACAATTATACGGTAAATTATATCGTATATTGTACAGACGATGAGCTTATATATGTCTTGGTTCCCATAGATGTACAAACGTTGACCAAGTTACAAGATTACAGCTGTCGAATTATAAAAAAATATATCGTAATGTAAATACTCTTGAAGTGTGCTTGAGTATATTTTTCCGCTCCGTTTTGTTTTTTTTTTTTTTATTGAGATGATTATCTCCCAGTGAGGTTCCGTTAGACAACCGTACATTATGAGTAGTGTGCTGAAGTCCGCTATCCTTATTTAAATGCAAATAATTGAATGCTAATTTGCTCCGTAAATTCTGCTGTTATACCAATTGGAGCACGCCGACTGCTAACGCGAACCATAATTTAATATGACCCTTGATACATGTATTCTTAAGTATTTCGAAAATATGTGAAGTCCGCCAATACAAATTGAGTCGTATGTTGGACGATGCCCTAATGCCCTCTGTTCATAGAAGCCCAGCAGTGGGACTTAAATGGGCTGTTAATTTACTTTTTACAAGTAAGTTTAATAAAATTCAAAAACTAAATGGTATAATATTGTCAAAATTACAAGCATGAATAAGACAGACAAGCAATAATAAAAGGCTTTACCTTTTATAAATTCATATTCAAAACGGAATAATTTATTACACAAGATTTAATTATGTGTCGTAAAATTATATTAAATTTTGTGTATCATCGCATTTGTACGCTATAACTATACTTTTATTAGATCATTTTAGTTTTATAACATAAATGTTTATAAAGTAATTTAATTAATTGCAATAAATAAGCTTACACTGAATTTAATCTTTAATTATGAACAGAAGTAAAAAACATATCCGAACACAGAATAACATAATTATTTGAACAATGGTATTGGTACGTTTAGTTGTTTTGTCGGAAACAAACACAATTTCTCATCATTCGTTTAGTTCCATTGAATTATTGTTAAACCTGTGGTTTGTAATAAAACGTCGTCCACAATGTTTGTTAACAATAGACATGTCTGGCCGCATCCGTGAATTTATTTGTCCAATGCTCCGTGGCCTATCCTCGGTACGTTATTTGGACGGCCATATCGATATAAAAGGACCACAGTGATTTGGCTCATCGGATTTCACGCGTGAACACGACTTTTGTGTCCATAAAAATTTTGTTGTTTTTCTTTGTGTTCTGGCACTTTGTGCTTTTGCTTTTTTAGTGCGCACCGACGTTTCCTTATGAGATAATGTTTACATTACTAGTAGCTCGAGGTGTTCACCCATTGTATTATCTTTGTATTTTGTATATTTATGTATTTTGTGCTTCTTAAGGATTAATATAGTTATTAAAAAAATATTAGCGTCAAATATTAGAGTAACTCAAGAAACTATTGCGAAAATATTAAAATTATTGCGGATAAGAAGACCACTTAATCAAAACATACGCAATTCATTCAACATATTTCGCTCTGTAGACGTTATGAGACCAGCCTGCTTCGAATCGCTTGATTTCGCATGATGTTTTAATATAAATCGTCACATTATTCACTCTCCTATCTAAATCAGAGCGGCGAGATCAGCGCTAAGAGACAGGTGCTGCTTAAACTGGTTTGAATTGACAACAGGTCCCTTATAAATTATGCGGTGTCTCCGAAAATATGCGAAACGGAGTCGCCTCTTAGCATATGCCAATTATATTGTTTCAATTTTAGTATGCGTCGTTAAAATGTTTTCATTAAGTTATGCATCAGCTCGCTTATTTTCTATTTCTATTGATTTGTTTTTTAATTATTGATTGATACGACTATCGTCAATTATGCTATAGTTATTAAGTGTAAAGTACAAACACATATTCGAATTAAAACCTGAATCAGAGACAGACTTCTGAATCACAACAATGAAATACATATTTCTCTGAAATATAAAATCAAACATACGCATTATGATAGCGATTTGGTAATTATTTTATTATAGATGATTTGGTTAGCATGCGATCGCACATAGAGACTAGCGCTTAATTACAATTAAATTAATAACCACGTTGAAGACTCTAGACGGATCTTGTTCTCTAAATTTCGTTTAAGTAATTGATGTTTCAGTTTTGAGCCGTATAACCTAAAACTCACGTCAAATCCTCATATTAGGGTTGCGAAAGATCTTTGACCGAATCGTCTGTTGCAGGAACAAAGGGGGCAACACTAATGCTCGTGGAGCGCGCACGGATGCGGCGAGGATGCGCGAGGAAGACCTGGAGGTGGCGCTCAAGGTGGTGATCGTCGGTGACGGCGGCGTCGGCAAGTCCAGCATGATCCAACGCTACTGCCGCGGCACATTCACCAGGGACTACAAGAAGACGATAGGCGTCGACTTCCTGGAGCGTCAGATCGAGTAATCACTCCCTGTTTAACCGACTTCAAAAGAAGATTCTTAATTCGACTAGATTTTTTTTATTTTTATGTTTTGTACCTAATAACTTTTGACTGAGAGAACCGATTTTGATGATTCTTTTTTTATTTGAAAGCTGGTGCTTTTTTTGTGGTCCCATATTAATTTCATTGGTATTGGATTTTGGGCTCCGGAGATACTTGGGGAACTCCTCAAAATCAATTATATAATGAATACAGAGCGAGATATTTGAAGTCGTTTTTTTTCCTTAGTAAAAAAGTGGTTATTTTATGTGAGAAGGTCGCGAGCGAACTGGCGGTTCGCTTGATGTCAAGTGATGACCGCCACCCATTTGGAGCACCCGTAGGGTTGCAGATGCGTTACCACCTTTTAATAAAGTTGGCTCCGTCTACCTCACAAAGCAGATAAAACGCAGAAGTACGACACTTCACGCCAGTCTTCTGTGGGGTCGTGGTACTCTCCCGGTCATTCGTGTAACAGCCGAAGCTCTGGCGTGGCCAAACTCAAATCACAAATGGGATGTTCCCTAATTCCGCGGTGTATAACTTTGTGATTTCGAAGGCTTTATTAAGTTATAATTAAAGTGTGATGGGCTCGCCATTTTCAATCAAACTGTGCGTGAGAATATACTTTCACTAGCGCGCTATTTCATTGGACGGCCCCGTGACCGGTAGGTTCAGGGCTACCACAACACTAAGCACCAGTTTCGTACGTCCAGACATTTGACAATATAATTATTCGTCTTTTTTAATTGAACATATTAGCATTACACTCACTTATTTATAGACAAATTACTATCACCGGTTAGAAAAAGGTAAGCTAGTGACACATCTGGCTTCAAAGACATTATTAATTTTATAAACATTTGAAATGTTATGAAGTAATTAATTTAAACATTTCCTGTCAATCGACCGTTTAGGCTTTTTAATCGTCGAAATAATTTCCTTTAATCTAAGTGATACCTCACATTAAGGCCGCCCGCTTTTAACTCAATAAACTGGAGCAATCTAATTTCAAATCCCGATGCCGGCACTATGTACTGACATTGTTAGATAATTATTGCATTTTAGATGCGAGCCGTGATAGCTCAGTGTCCGGGCGCTCACCTTTATTTCAATAGACTCGAGCAACCTGAGTTCGAGCCCCAGTGCCGGCACCAATGAAGTTTTTTACTTTAAGTGCTGACTTATCACTTGCTCCGCGGTGAAGGAAAACATCGTGAGGAAACCTGCATATTTTCGAAATAATAACAAAAAAATATATTTTTCGAAGATATGTGAAGTCCGCCAATTCGCAGTGGGGCCACGTGGTGGACTATGCCCTGATACCCTCTGTATAGAGGAGGTCTTTGCCCAGCAGTGGGACATGTATAGGCTGTTACTTTACTTTTTTTAGATGCTAATGTATTACGTGCTCATTGGTGAAAGAAATTAATTACATTAATATTGTATATTTTCGAAAGAGAACAAAAAAATATTTCGAGGTATATACCCTTTCTGGAGTTTTGTAATTCGTGGTGGGGTCGCGTGTTGGTCTACTCCCTAATATCCTCTGTACACAGAAGGCCTTTACTCAGAAGTGGAACATAGTGTGATGGAGCAACAAAAGCATAGCACTGCACTAAGCAGTTACAAGTACCATAGCGTTTTGTCCGCTTGGTCTGTTGACATCCTTTTGAACAAATAAACTTTGTTAAAACTCTCTCTATATATAAAGAAATCATTACTAATTTGATAAAAGAAAAAGTGTCTGCATAAAAATACTTATTAATCACCCAGGTTTTGGAAACCATATTGAAATTTTAAATTATATCACTCCTTCAATATGAGACGAATTTAATGACAGTTTTGAAATCCATCAAAAATTTTAAAATTTTAACGTGCAAAGGAATTAGACACACATTTTCTTAAATGTGTGTCTAACTAAGAAAACATTTTAATAAATACATTCAAAAACATTATTCTATTTCCTCAGTCAGGTACAAAATTTTTAAATTGAAGCATTTAAATTAATTACTGGCATCCCTATTGAATCAGTAAACTGATTAAGGTACGGAGTTATCTGCTTGATTACACTTGCATGGTTTACAATTGTGAATGTTTTCCTTTTAGGTTTGTAGAAATTAGTTGAGTTTAATGTTGCGTATACATATTGTTACCAATAATTATTTATTGGCGAGACTATTGTTTGTCCTATAGTCATATTCATATGTCTACTATGTTTCTATTATTGATATATTGTAAAGTTTCTGTTCGTGTTATTCCATTTGTGTTTGTGTTGTGAAAATAAATTCTTGATCGATTTTTTTTTAATTGGCAACAAGAAGTGCAACTTTTTGCTTGACGAGAAAAATAATAAATTTCAACATGTTGCCCAAAGTCAATAAAACTAATTTCTTGTACCTACGTAATGTTATTCTGTGTGTCTATGTGTTAGGCAACACTATATCTACATATAGTGTAGCGGAAGGCCCAAACCCGTGGGTTCTAGCTAGCCCACCGGTTCTGTGCCAGATCAAGCTTTAATAGTCTCGGTACTGAAAGCAAAAAGATCAGTTAATACAACATACAAGCCATATACAGTGCTAGCCAGTCTATGAGTACACAAGGTAAATCCACCTTGTAAGGCTGTTCTCACCGTCTCCAGCCCTCGATTAATACAGTCAAGGCCCATCGGGTTCACGGCCCTTACCGAACCTCGAAATTCGTCCCAATAGATAACACACCGTAGAGCCATAATAGTTCAAGAGTCGTGATAGCTCATTGTCCGGGCGCTCTCCCTTAATTCAATATACTCGAGCAACCTGAGTCCGATCCCCGGTGCCGGCGCAAATGAAATTGTTAATTTCAAGTGCTGACTTATCCAATTACAATTTCAAGTGCTGACGTGCTCAGCGGTGAAGGAAAACATCGTGAGGAAATCTGCAAATTTTCGAAATAATAATATTTCGAAGATATGTGAAGTCCGCCAATCCGCAGTGACGCCGCGTGGTGGACTATGCCCTGATACCCTCTGGACAAAGGAAACCTTTGCCCAGCCGTGGGACAAGTACAGGCTGTTACTTGCATAAGGCATAAAACATGAGCCAAAAAAAAGTAATAGTATGTATTATCCAAATATCAATCGGTATCAAATTGAACTTTTATCAAAGCTACTATGTCTTAATTATTTCTAGCAAAGCTTTTACAGAAAGCCTCTCTTAAAATGCAGATATAACAATATTCATATTATTCGCTCAACTTCTGGCTTGTTACGTAACACAGAACCGGTTCCATTTTGTAACAGTAGTCTGAAACTGTTTAGAAATAATTGATGTAATAAACATTTATGATCTATGAGACCGAGTGGCGGTTTAATTATGACAGCTTAATTGCAAATGCGATTTTCCATGCAGATTAAAATTTATTTCTATTGCGTTCCATATCTTCTTTTCGTCAATATTTATATTGCTTATCTTTTTAAACAATGCTGTGTATTATAGATACTTAGTATGAAAAAATTGTATGTATTTATGTCATATTTACGTTCGCTTTTCGATACAGCAAAAATCGCGAACCAGTCACAATTTATGCCACGATTTCATCGATATTCTATTACTTTTTTACGAAATTTTAATGTCTCCTTTGAAAGTCGAATTATTTATGAAAGTAATAAATTTTTCGTACGCATTAAACTTTCAACTTTCTCGTTTGCTGCGTGGACTTTAATAGATAACAAATGCGTTATTGCTATACGATATTGAATTAGTTATTTTTAATCCAGATTTAAATATGTAAAGCTATTTCGTTTATGACTCGTCTTATAAAATAAACTTTCATGTCATCATCAAAGACACTTCGAATGGATTTTTGAACCAACTACTAAGTATTTTCTGTTCTTAAGTTCTTCAAATTGAAATTCAGATTTGTAGGGGCAATGTAATATCTACTTTTTATCTGTGCCAAGCCATATACAATAATTTTAGAGCACATAAAATATAACACTAGAAAATCTAATTGGTATATACCAAAATTTTTTTAGTTTGATTGTTAGAATGTTTCTTAAATACACTGTTTAAGAGGTATTTACTTTTAATCCAAGTATGCAAGATGTTGCTAATGCCGGAACCTTAAATTTATAATGTAATAAATTTTGTAGTAAAAGATAAGAAAGAACGATAAGTTTTTCACTAATTTGAGCCCAGACGGTTTAACCACTAAGCTTAAGTACAGCTTACCCCGATTTTCTAACTCTTTTTTCTACAAATTTCAATATTCACCTTAAGTGCAAAAAGTGAAACAGATTAGCACTATAATAATTTTTAATTTTTTGATGTAGTTATCGCAGAAATGATCATTTGTGATTAAAATTTATTAAAATTGATAAGAAAGTTTGTCCTGAGTTCTGAGATAAAAAAAAAGACATGAAAAATCTTAGCCTTGTTGCTTTATTAGCAAATTTAAATATTTTACATAATAAAAATGGAACATAATTTTAAATGATCGCTTATGTAGATCGATTTAGAAGATATCATATTGTGGACAAAATTTTTGATAAAACATCACCACAATTACTTATTTATTCGATATTTGTATTTACAATAAACAACAGTTAAAATGAAAGGTTTTCTAATATGGTAATAGAATGTGCATGGCACGTTCATTAAAAAGTTTAATAATTCAACATATTAACTTCTTTATACCTTTCATATAAAATTAAACAATTAATGAAAGAGTGATCCATGCTTAAATATTTTAGTATTTTTAACATTCATATAAATAAAAATGTAGTAATTAAAGATATTTAATCATACCTGTTGCCTCCAATAATAAAGATGGAAACGAAAACCTAAACCGAAAACTGTAACAAAAGTTTCTAGCAATATCGAGCCAAGATCGAAAGTTAGAGCTACCGCCCAGTTAACTAAAATAATACGATCTTAAAATTATAAACAATGCTATGAAACATCGCTAAAAATTCACACGATCCATAATTAAACATACGCAGACAAATTTTCCATGTAAGTTTTTATGTTTCGCGTTGCATTTGTGAAGATTAATTGCTGTCTTGTGCGGTGTCTAAGCTATTTTCATTTTATTATCACCGGCCTTACTATATCTCCTACAAAAGCATACTTTAACCACATATAAATCTTTGTCATGAATCCGATAAAAACGAATTGAGTGGCAATTTCTCAAAGCTTTATCGTATCTTATAGCTATCTTAAGCTTTTTGTAATATTGAAAAAACGGTTATCTTTTAAAATTATATTTTTTATGTGAAAAGTTGCCAAGCGAGCAGATGGTTCACCTGATGTTAAGTGAATACCACCGCCCGGATGTCCATACATCTGCTTCGGGTTTGCAGATGCAGTTGACCTTTTGAAAATTGGGCTCCGGCTATCTCACTCACCAGACTAAACGCGAAAGTATTATACTTCCACTTTACGCCGGTCTTCTGTAAGGTCGTGGTACTTACCCGGACGGGCCTGCCCGTTCGTGCAACAGCCGAGGCTGTCGCGTGGCCCTACCACCGTAAATTATTACTTAATACATTTGATTTAAGATCAAGATTTGTCACGCAGGATCGACGGCGAGGAGGTGCGGCTGATGTTGTGGGACACCGCCGGTCAGGAGGAGTTCGACGCCATCACCAAGGCATATTACCGCGGGGCCCATGCGTGCGTTCTCGCCTTCTCCACGACCGACAGGGATTCCTTCCTCGCGCTGCACTCTTGGAAGCTGAAGGTGTGTGTCTATGCCCTTTATTAAAAAAAAACCTTCTGAGTTCATGAAGTCATCCTCCCGAGGAATCCTACAAACAACAGTTTGAAACTCTCTGAACACACAAAATATTATGTTTCGTGCCAGGATCAAACCCAAGGCACGGCGGCATGCAGTAGTGAGCACTTAGCGACTTAGTGGTGCATACTTAGAAAATCGTATGAATCATCCGTGCATTACATAACAGCAAATTTAAATATCTTGTAAGTAAATAACTAAGGAGCCTTTTTAAATTGCTAGATGCATGTTAAACAAAAAATACCTTCTAGCACAACCATCTTCTACCTGCAGTTATTCACTTTAACCTTTAACTTTTGACTGTAAGAAAATAAGTAAAACTCTAGTGTTTATCCCCTTTTTGTTTGTTAAGTAACCTTACATGTTAAAATTTCTCGATCTTTTATTAAAATTCACTCCTTTTCCGAAAAAGTAGAAAAACTTCCTTTGTTTGAAAAAAAAATGTCCTTTCTTATTAAAAATAACGATGTTCTAATTGGTTTATGGTCTCTTTTATCTAGTCTATATATAACTGTCATTATCGTGTTGCAAAAATTGGCCAAAACATCATTCGATTACTCCGTACCGAGCACAATTTAAAGCGTGTCAAAGATAAAACGGGGTCGTAAGCCGAGATCCATGATGTCCACTACGGACGCACATACCTACCGTATAAAGTGTAATTATACACTGCAACGGCTTTAGACGTAGGGCCGCATTGATTATTTATCACTTTAACTTGAACATAGTTATATAAGCAAAACAATTCAAATTTTGAAGACACGTAAAACCCGCCAATTTACACTGCGGCCGCGTTGCAGACGATGGGCGGTTACTTTAAGCCTGTAGGTTGAACTTTACTTTTTTTTTATAACAAATAGTGTGTTTATTAGTCTATTATATTTGTATCGGCAGTCTCAGAAAAAGTATTTTTTTGTATTTTAGCTAAGTGTTATTGTCAACTAACCATAGTTTGTAATGTGTTGTAAAAAATGAATAAGTATTTATATATGTTAAAGCGTGCCCCTTTAAATAAATAGTAATAATAAATAGAGGCAATCATTTTATTTCTTAAATTTGACTTAAGAAAAAGATGATAAAACAAATGAACATATATTCTTCAGGAATAATTCAAGTATTATAAACATAACAATTTCGAATAATCAAATGACTCTACCGTGATAGAGACTCGTTCAGGTTCTGCTATTCCATGAATGGTCCAACTCATCCGGAAATAATACCTCACAGGAAACCAATAAAAAGTAGAAGTATTTATCCATAATCTTGGTGAGATAACCGAGGCACAGCCTCTCAAATGTTGGTATCGTAATTGCTACCACGCAGGCATTGCTGGTCTCCATAAGCAGCAATAATTACCTAACTTCCTCAGAACCAACTACTTTTGTATTTACAAAGGCCACGAAGAAGTTCTATAAGACAGCAATATATTATTAAATAAATATATTTTAAATTAAAGTACGTTCACGGTATTTCGAATACTTTACAGCGTCTACAGTCATGAGAGCTGTAGAGTTTTCCAAACACCGAAAACATGAATTTTAAATTGTACTAGATAAATTTTGCGAACTTGGTCGTAAATACAGACATGAACCTGCACTAGTAATAAACGCATTCGTATCTTTTATTATGTTAAAAGTTGACAAACGAGGCAGGCGGTTCTCCTAATGTTAAGTGCAATTGCAGATGCGTTGCCCAGTATAAAGAAAAGTGGGTAGGTTAATCTATACTATAATAATTTCATACTAAACTGCGACGGAAATAATATGAGAGCCCCTGGAATGGGATATCGCGTATCGCGTGCCGCGCAATCAGAACGGGATGTTTACGTTGCCGATTCTGGTGTACAGAGTCGCATTCACATTCCGCGAGGGTCGGCGAGAGCACGATGCGTCCGCAATACATCTTAGTCGCTGTCGCGTTCGCCCTAGGCGCGGTGGAGTGCCGCTGGAGCCACCGTAGCGAGGAGAAGTGCATCGATTACTACAGGACCGGCGAGAACTTCGACCTGGAGCAGATGAACGGCGTCCAATGGCGCGCCGTCTACTTCTGGCCGCCAATCCAGCGCGAGAGGGAGAGCTGCGGCGTGCTCAACTTCAGGACCATGGCAGACGACGAGCTGGAAGCGGAGACGGTCGGCTGCGAGGATTTGGTGGACGAGAACGACACCGTGGTGCGCGCCACGTACAGGAACAGCACCGGCAAGCTGGTCAGCGTGGTCTACTACGGCAACGAGGAGGTGAAACACCTGATGAGGTCCTGCGACAAGGTCTACAAGTACATATTCATAAGGATAAACGAGGATTACGTGGCTGGCATCAACTGCTCCGCGGGCGGGCGGGGGGTACTCCTCGCGAAGTATTTGCCCAGCTACGACGAAGTGAGACGAGTTGTGGACGGAATCGAGATCATGACGGGCAGGGAGGGGAAGCCAGACTGCCCGCTGCGTTAGATTAGAGAAAGGCGTTGTCCAGTTACGCCAGTCAAGTACTCAAGTACAACTATTTATGCATAAGTTTTATCTTTAATAAAGTGTTTATGAAATGTTGCTGTTTTATTTCGTTCAGTAAACCCATAGTTTTACATAATACAATTTTAGAAAGATATCCGAATGAACGTTTAAAACTATATAACTGTCTGATTATGACTACATTTTTCCATTGTGACAATCATGTTACACGATTTATAATAAAAATTATCTTCAATTCGTTAACATCATAATAATTATGTACGTACGAGGTCAGCAAAAATTATTTACGGCGTATTTAAAATCATCTAAATATGCCATATTGTTAGATTACAAAGAAATTTAAAAACTAATCATTTGTTGTTCGATCAAAGCACTGAACGATTTTTCCAAAACAATGGTGGTTTAAAAAAATAGCTTTAAATTTCAAAGGGCATTTGAATTGATTTGGCTTAATAATGCCCATAAACGACATTATGGTCTCAGTACGCAATAACAAAGTCATGTCTTTATATTGTTAAAATCGTAATTACAGGTGGAGAACGAGTGCGGCGAAATACCGACCATAATTGTGCAGAACAAAATAGACCTGATGGACCAGTGCGTTGTTGGACCGTGAGTAAATTTCAATCACATTTTCTCAAGATAATCTATTTTTACAGATTTAATGAAACTTACGCCACGCCGTTCGCTAGAGCATTAGTGTGTTTTTGTCAAATACCGGAAAGCTACACACAATATTCGTTTTAAAAAAATACAAAAAAAACATAAATAGCACATATCATCCTAATATTCAACAATTATAAGAAATTTTCGAAAGTGCTGTTTTTCCCAGCCAAGCAACTAAAACTGAGTTCCTTTTAAACATTAGCCCATCTAAATACATGTTAAATTTTGCGAAATTCCATTTTTTCGCAATCCTTTAACTACCCTTAAATAAATATTGAAAATTATCTATGAAAATTATTTTGTACGCTTCCAATACGTATACCATGAAATGTACGAAAATTTAAATCAGTTCAATAAAATGATTGAAGAAGGCAAAAATATCTGGTATTGCATAATCCTATACAGGAGTCCATAACGTTATATCTAACCCAACAATATCCATTTAAAATATCAATTATCATTTCAAACATTACAAAAATGTAGAACTGCTTAGCTATCGCAACTACGCATAAGGTAATTAAACTATAAAGTTAGTAAAAATCATTTAATACATAATCTGGTTCGGCATAATATTCATCAAAAATGTTGCAAAATTAGCATTTAAATTAACCTTAATAAATGTCAAAACATATATTCAAGGTAAATGGGCTATTTGAATGATATGATATGTTGCAATAAAAATTGCACGCAATTTATTCGCGCTCTTATCATATCATTTTATTTATTTTCAAACTAGTAGATACGCGCAACCTCGCGATACGTTGCTTATTGTGTAAAATTCATTGTTTTATGAAACTTTACATAATACTTTTATTTTTCACAAAACTTAGAATTAATAAAAACTTACCAGTAGGTTTTCCACGATGCGCACACAATAGCATACAATGATTATTATATACAAACACTAGTGTTAAAACATCATTGATGGCACAATGTGTTTGCTCATCTGCGGAAGTACCGTGGCCTTCCAGTAGACCAAGTAACTGTGGTAGAGCCACGCAACAATACAACCTCGGAGCCGGTCTCTGAAGTGGAAGTGCCATACTTCTGCTGAGATACACTCATCAGACACTGAGGTAATCGTATCCCACTTTATTCATTTATTACACTTAACATAACGTGAACCGACAGCTCGCTTGCCACCTCCTCACATAAAGACCGACGTCGATTAAGTGTTTATACTTTAGCCTCTTAAGGGTTGGCAATGAGCAATCGCACAGCTGTATTGTGGAGGTCAGGATGTAAAACTTACCATCAGGCCAACTCGCTGCCGTCTTTTTTAAGACGCCCGTTAGATTGCAACTAAGTGAATTACAAATTTCCGTCTGTATTGAGCTAGGCACCAAGAGTGCTCAGGATGCACTCTATTATTTATATATAGGTTTCAAATACATGGACATGAGTTTTCAAATTTGATGTGTAGCCAGCAAGATCTATGTCACATGACTGCAAAGAGTACAAAAAAATTAATTATAATATTGTAAATGCTCCACGGTTTATGAGAAACGACTAAACAGTGCACAGCGAGAAACACCATACTGAAAGTACTCTTAAATCATTTGATTTCTAGTCTACTCAAGACGAAATTCAAATCGGGGTAATAGATAAACTTTCGAAAAAGCTCTCGGCGTCACAATTAACGTAGGCCACGCGCTTTGCAGCGACGAGGCGGAGTTGGTGGCGCGCGCGCTCGGCTGCCGTCTGATGCGGGCCTCCGTGAAGGAGGACGTGAATGTTGGCGCGGTGTTCAGGGCGCTGGCGGCGAGGTGCCTCGCCGAGATGCGACGCGACGACGCCGCCGACGCGCCCCCGCCCGCCAACGCGCCCGTCATAGGTTATTAGGCGAAGCTCTGTTATGCTGTAGTAGTTAACATTTCCTTAATACCACACGTCCTAGGTGCAAAGCTTTGTTATAGTGTCATAGTAGTTAACATCTCCCTAATACCACACGTCGTAGGTGCAAAGCTTTGTTATAGTGTCATAGTAGTTAACATTTCCCTAATACCACACGTCCTAGGTGCAAAGCTTTGTTATAGTGTCATAGTAGTTAACATCTCCCTAATACCACACGTCGTAGGTGCAAAGCTTTTTTAGTGTCATAGTCGTTAACTTTTCCCTAATATGAAGTATATTAGGGAAATGTTAACGATTATATCGATGAGAACTTTCGTTACAATGTTCTAATCGTTATCGCATCATTTACACCACACGTCCTAGGTGCAAAGCTTTGTTATAGTGTTATCATTTCCCTAATATGAAGTATATTAGGGAAATGTTAACGATTATATCGATGAGAACTTTCGTTACAATGTTGTAATCGTTATCACGTCATTTACACCACACGTTATAGGTGCAAAGATTTGTTATAACGTTATAGTCGAAAGCATACCCCTAATACCACACGTCATAGGTGCAAAGCTTTTTTATTATGTTGTAGTCGCTGACATATCCCTAACAGAAGTCGTAGGACATTGTGAGGACACTTACAGAAGGCGTGAACGGAAGTATTACGCTTTCACGCTTTGCCTGGTTAGTGAGGTAACCGGGATAAAAGTTTATAAATTGGCAATGAATCTTTCTGGTGCGTTGCCAACCTGTAAAAACACTGGATGTCCGTTTCCTAACTTAATAGACGAAACACAAAAGTATTATACTTCACTCTTAGTCTTCTGGGAAGCTGTGGTGCTTATCGGTTTTTGTATCGTGGTTTTACCATGGTTGAATATTAAAAGTTATTTAAGAGGTAGTTTTTATCCAAAGCTGATATATTTTACAGGCACGTTTACAAATCACAATAGCAACGGCACAATATTGCTACGGCCTGCCAAGCATCGGCCTGGCGGCAAAAAGAAGAACGTGCTCAGAAACGCCTGTCGACTACTGTGAACGCAACTGTACGCGGACCCAGCAGTTAATTCTGTCTGTCTGTTTTAGTGTCTAGTTCAGAAACTCCTGTAGAATGAATTCTGTGAGAATGTTTAAAGAATTTATCCTTATTTACTCATTCAAGGAGGGGTTTAAGACAAAACAATATTGACCTATACTTAAAATAACTTAATTTGAAATTATTTTTAATGCAAAACAATTATATGCTTTCATCGATTAATTCGTTCTCCGATTGGTGGACGGATGTTTAACAAGCATACGTCTACGGTCAGCCCTGGGTTCATATGTGTTCACAGTCAAACCAATTATGAAAATTGTGTTGTTTAAACTCGAACTTTGATGGCTCGGTAGCGCAGTTGCGAAGTTATTGGCTCCAGCACCGGTGGTCTTGGGTCGAAGAACCCAAGACCACCGGTGCTGGACAAGAATTTTTGGGACCCACAACCAATAAAGGCAGGACAAAAAGAAAGTGTTTATAAAACATATAATTTTGCAAAAATAATAGATTTCAATTAAACTTTTGTTTAAATTCGCCGAAAAGGTCAGCTAGAACATGTTTAGTTATTTAAATTCTTTATGATGTGGATATTAAGACATATTAATTTCTCCAATGAGTCTCGTTACACATTGACCAAGTAAATGTACTTATTTGTGTACATAATAATATATTAATCGTAGCCATGTATAAATTGAAATGCAAAGTGCAATGTTATTTGTATGAATTTAGGTTATCTATTTTTAAGAATGTTATAGGTTTGAAACGGAAAGAATAAAATTATTTATCCGTTTCAAAATTAAACGGATAAATCTTCTAATTAAAAAAAAAAAAGAAATAATGCTAGCAATACTTACAATTCAATGAATAGAAAACATTAGCTTTCAATTAACTTATTAAAAGCAAGAGTAATTGATGTAACAAAATCTTGTGTGTCAGTCAACACGGCCAAATCAGAATAATTTGTCGGTACGGATTGGTACGATAAAATTAATTAATATCTTGCGAATTCAACATCATTTTATTTAATTAATGATTGTCCATAACAGTATTCAATGAAAAAAAAATTACTAACCGCGAGTGTCCCAATCTATAAACATTTACGATATTATGGACAAATTGATTAAATTTCAAGTAATGCGCGGTCATGGATTGACATGAAACAAGCAATTATTCATATATTATTAGAAGTACATACAAAATTAGAATTTGTTACTGTAAATTAAAAATACTATAATTTTTCTTAAATGCTGTGATCGGGGTTGTCAACAAAGCTTTCAATGGGAGGAGGAGATTTACATTAAACCCCTCGCAAGTCAACGAAATCACCTATGTCTCATATATGGTAAATGTAAAAAAATGCATCGAATTTATTATTAATACCAATCGTGTCAAATTTGTGACTATCTTTACAGAACTTTAAGAACCAGCCCGTCATACAGCTCTCTACAGTCTCAAGTTGACCCACTATTAGAGTTTAATAAAATATGTTCGTATATTTGTTTTATTTTGTTTAATACTGCCATGCTATAAAAGCTCTCTTACATAGTCTATCATTACATATTTGAATAAACAGTCATACTAAAATTTTCATCATTGTGCTGTTTTTGTACCATTTATTTTAATCATATTATACCGACAAATTTTTAAACTTATTTTGTTAAAAATGCGAATGCAACGAGTTTTGTAAATATTTTGCACTACAACGTTTATAATAAATTATTTTTCTCAATTTGTTTTTAATTAACAAAACCCAAACCTAAAAATATTCGAGTTTTATCACATCCCATAAACTTTATCTTCAGCTACTTTATTTCGAATAAAATGGAAGATTGTGATCTCACCGCAATCTTTTACGCGGTCGATTACAGTCGTGTTAACAAGGAATATTTTATATGTATACAAAGTTTTGAAAATTGCTCAAACTTAGTTTGACTAAATTTTTACACCTTTTGGAAACGTTGTCGCGGTGAAGGAAAACTTTACTGCGAACTCTTCGCGAACTGCACCTACCAAACTCGGCAAGCAATACTGTAGATCTGTAATCATTGACGGAAGACGTAGATTCGATTCTCGTCGCTGCGAGCAACCGTTTTTCTACAAATTTTAAAGTTATTTAGTTTCCAAATCCTTAAACATTAAAATTTGTAGAAAAAGTACGAAAAGATTGTTGCCGCTTTGCATTGCTTCAAATGCTAAAAAAATCAATGTAGATAAAAGACGTTAAGATTTTCGTCGGTGTGGCAATCAGTCGTTTAGCTTAGTGGCTAAAGCGTCAGGCCGCGAATTACGAAGACGTGAGTTCGATTCCCATAGCGGCGACAATCTTTTCGTACTTTTTCTACAAATAAATTTAGTTTCCAAATCCTTTATCAGTCAAATTATCATTATTCAATGTAGTCTTAACTTAAGCTCTTATTGAACGTCAAAAAAAACAAACTACCACCGGTTCTGTCTGTCCCGTGACCATGAACGCTGTAAAGGGTTCGAAACGTCGGGAATTAAAATTAAAAATAAACGCGATAAATCCGTAAAATTAGTTTCATTTATAATGTGTAATCGCGTAAATACAAGAAATTATTACCACCGGTTCATTAAACTAGATCTGAACAGAAAAGAACCGGCTTCTTGCCGGTTCTTTTCTCATCTTGTTCTCTTTATTTTTATGCAATTATATAAACTTATTTAGGTATAAAATCAGCAGCAGCCAGGGGTGTCGTGCAAGTGCATAGCGAGAGCCATTTCCACACATCCTTGTTCTCAATGTATTTTTGGACATTATAATAGGCCCTTGTCATCAGACTAGCTTTTAAAAATTGTTTGATATTATTATTATTATATATATGATATAGTTATAGAAGCGACGATCCAGGGTGGCTGGAACCAAAGGGCTGGACTGGATGCGAATAGTCGAGTTGGAACAAAATGGCGTCCAACGGGAGAGGCTCATGTCCAGCAGTGGACTGCGACATGCTACTGATGGTGATGATAATAATGATGTTGAATTTTAACACAGGTTATTGTAGTAATTGTCGATAGTTCGGTGGTTTTCCTAAAGAGAATTGTATAGAACTATCAATTGTTTGATCCCTTTTCCGGGTGGTAATCGGATAATATCTTGGTAGTAGATAGGCCCGATGCCTCTAAGGAAAACTTGAAATAAAAACTCCTTTCGTAGTTTTTATAGAAAATTTTATTATTGAACGAAGCCAATCGAACGAATAATTTTAAAATACAATTTGGTATTTACTTGTATACATTTGCAGGAGCTGCGAAATCAAAAGAGACACTCTAGACCGCTCTTGTAGACGTAAAACCTTCTTTAAAATGCCTGTTACGGTGGTCGTAGATTACGTAAAGAGGAACATTAAAACACATTAAAGCGCACTCTGACTTAACTAGAATTAAATTCGTTTACAAGTCAAATGAATTAACGTCTCAAGTGCGACAGTAAGACATTATGGAAGATTCCTGTAGTATATAAAAACCTCAGTGATAAAAAAAAATTGGGTTCGAATTTCAACATTTTAGTAAGCCACGTTCCGTAACACTTAAACTCATCTTAAAGATTGAGAAGCATTACAAATTTTTAGGTTAGGATATAAATTTTATTTATAAATTATTAAATTGGGCAATTGCCTTTATTATAACACCTAATATCTTAACTTCTCTGATAACTTGCTTAGCTCATCATCTATCATCACTTTTACTGTTAAACGGTTACCCTCTCGGGAAACTTTCATAACAAGGGTTTAAAATTACTTAAGAAAAATATTTAAAATATATTAACAAATTTTGGCGACCATAACTACTAGTGTCTTCGTATAAAATTATAAAATGTTGCCATCTTCTTCTTACTTCACGATATGTGTGAAGGTCCATTCACTTTCTCTCAGCCTTACCTCATGAAAGTATTTTACACGTTTTTTTTAAAATAAATAAACGACTCTTAGGCATATGAGACAAAATTTGGATACTTCTGTAACGCAAGTCATTCTAATGCACACATATTACATTTGTATAAAATGATAAATGGTTCGAGTATAAAAAGAAATGCTAATGCAGAAATGAAGAATGTCATTTCGTTTATTTCTAAGAAGTATAAAATTTAGACCAAGACATGAAATATAGCATCTAAGCTAATCATTCTGTGTTGCCAGCAATATATAGACTGCTTTAAGCTATAGCATAGTAATATGCCTTCGCATAAATACCGTATATACTCATACGAGTATATGAGTAATATATACATATTTATAATAACAAATTTTGGTGATAAGGTTAACATATATCACAAGCCTCTTATTTAATCTATGTGCAAAAGACAACTTTGCGTTGTGTCTATTCCTTGGAGATTAAAAAAAATACACAGTCATGACACGCCAATCAAGTTCGAACGATTACAATTCACAACGAGAGAAATAACACTGAAAAGTAGGAACGTAATGTATTTAAAAACGCGACAATGTATTTCCGTTGAGCATCATCTTATTAAACATCAACTCCAAATATTATATAGAAATGTAAGTTATAGAGAAATCATTTCGCCACGACTTTGCACTTCCGCCACCAATATCTGTTCACAAACTTTTATGGTTTTAGCCGATAAATTTAGACATTTACTAATACAGATTAAATTTAAGAATAGCAATGGTGTTCCATTTTAAAAATACAATGATTGTAATTTTTAACAAAATTCTTAGAATGTGTTCCTTTGTATTTTAATACAGATTTACATAGAATGGACTTGACGGTGGAATTAAAATAGGCCGCGCGCAAAAACGTTAATTAAATCCGTTCATTTACAAAATTAACTCTTATTAAGGAATCCAACGTGATAAAGAAACGAATTTAATTCAAGGTATTCAACGTCTTTGAGTGCGACAAAGTGATGAGCGACATTGAATAATGTTTATATAGGTGGTAAATAGCTTCGCTTTTGTTATTTAGCCGATTCGTGGTAATCAATGAGTTCTGCAACGCATATTTGCTTTCGGGTGTCGCGAAATTCACGATAACAAACGCGCTCGTTTGGAATTAGAGAAATCCATACAATCAACACAAGCGGTCGCGTGTGTTGATTTCAAGTTAACCTGTATATAACAGGTTCACTTGAAAAACACTAATAATCTAGCAGGGTTCTATTAATAACATCATAAAGATCAACCTTCGTTACTCGATTTTTAATAATTAATCAAACTTTGCAAATTAAAAATTATTCAATACGATCGCTGTAAATGTTAACATTTCTATTCGGTAGCAATGCGCAAGAAACACACGGCTGTGAGTTACTGGCCGCGGGAGCGGATTTCTGGACGAATACCTAGTACTAAATGCAGATTTAAAAAGTGTAAAATAGTGCAACAACAAACACTTTCTTCATGAACTTTTTGGTAAATTTATAATTAAAAAAAAAAGTTATGACTTATGATGTTAGTAATAGGGTCTGGCGAGATTATAACCGATTAAAAAGAAACCCCGTGTAAACATCACGCGAGAGTTTGCCGCTGATGAGTACATTCATAAAAGTTGGAACTCGATTAAAGATAAACCTAGATGTACGAAACTTACGTAGGATTCTTGGAATGACAACGCAAGATGCGTATCGTTAAAATACGAAAAACAAATAAACATCAAAACAAGCCCCCGCATGTTTAATTGCAAATGGCGTAGACATAGACAATAATCAAAAATATAAGTAGTTGACAAAAGTTGTTTGTTTTAATTTTATCAAAACTTACTGGTACAATAATTGGGAAGGTGTGCTACAAAGACCCTTCAGGGGACCCTCAGTAGGTCAGATCACAGTACAAGCGATATAGGATGGTGACCACGCTTAGAACCGCTGACGATCGGTAACATAGCTACACAACTTTTTGGACAACAATAAAACGCGCGCAAAACTTAAATGCACACCTGAAGTTCAAAATCACGGAGCAGTGCACGCTTTTTAAGCTAGAGTCATGGTCTCTCGTTCGCGCAGCAGTCTAAACCGCTCTCTCCGTCCTACTCCCACCAAACGTTGTACAGTTGCGTGCATCTGCCGTTCGGTATTGTGAACGACGAGAGATGATACGGCTTGCGCACTCGACGGTACCGAACTCGCGGGCGCATTTAAATTTGGCGCGAACGCTAGACAAAATGGCGTGGGGGATAATCAGCGGACTCGGTGGCGGCCTGTAGGGTTGGCAACTCACGTGCACGTGGTCACGTTGAGCTTGGCGAAGTAGTCCAGCAGGCCCTGGAGGCGTTTCTTCACGCGCTTCTGGTCGTCCAGCGTGCAGCCGAGGATCGCGCTCTCGAAGTTCTTGTCGGTGCCAGTGCTGGGGTCCGGCTGGGAGGTGCACGCGTTCATGTACGTCTGGCAGCGGGTGTGCGCCACCACAGCGTCGTCGTGCACGGACATCACTAGCTGGTCGATGTACATGTTCACCTGCGGGTCGCGATGTCGCATCTTAAAAACGTGGAAACATCACTATTTTCCTTTTATTACCCTTAGTCCAGGATAAGTTTAATTTATTAAGCTCGTCATCTGTTACAACATTTTCTGTTAGACGTTATACCCTCGAGAAACTACCTAGCATGTGTTTCATAATATTTAAAAAATAATTATAATAACAAATTGTGGAGACCATAAATACTAATGTCCTATTAATGTCAACTTCTACCTTCACCATGTGTGAAGACTATCTGTCAGCCTTTTTCATCAAATTATTTTACGCAACTTTTATATTCTAGTAGACTTGGACAGTTATTGGAAAACATAAAGACAAAGAGACGGATACACAAAACCGCAACAACCGTTATATTATATATCCGCAATGAGTATTATTTATACAAAATAAATGTAAAAATTTAGTAGCGATAACAGGTCCCTGAATACTTATTTTGGGAGTCAGTGACAAATGAATGTGTGCTCCGGTTACGTCACTTATAATACGAACCACAGTAGTATATACGACAAACCGGTCCCTTGCGAGAAGTAAGTAAAATATCTTGGGACACTTTCGGCTCTAAAATGTCATTTATTACAACTAAAACTAAAGAAACCCATCAAGTCAAATTCCCTTAAGGCATACCCACGTTACACCTATCCCTTTCATGCCCGAAATAAAAACAGGAGACACGGGAACACGAAGAAGCTATCTTCCGGGCATACCTTTGCTCTTTGCCATATCAAGTTCGTTGTTTCTGACTAGTCCAATGATGAAGTTTTAATAGACTTTTCAGTCCGTATTTGCTTTCGCAAAAATATCAGTCAAATTAAAATACAATAGTATAGGTGTTCTCGGTTTTCTGTAAGGCCCAGTTGGCCCCTTCCAAGATGTTCCATGTACATACATATCCTTCGTAGCTCTACACACAAGTTAAGCTTGTTCAATGGCACTTGAGTCGATAGAAGTCCGTTAACGGAAGGTCCATTTGAATTTGAAATTGTAGCAAGAAATAAATAATTTTCAAAATTGTTGCTCTATAAATATTAATCATAGACAGTACGTATTTATTCAGTTACAATTGTGAAAGATCAGTGTCCAGGCGCTCGCTTTTAATTCAACATGAAATCCCAGCACAAATAAAAAATTTTATGTTAAGGGCTGATATAATATCACTTGCTGAGATATGTTCATCATCATCATCATCATTTCAGCATGTTTGAGTCCACTGCTGAACATAGGCCTCCCCCACAGACTGCCATGAAGTACGATCCTGAGCCACCAGCATACATCGACTTTCCGCACATTTGCACAGGTCGTCACTCCATCTGCTAAATTCTATTATTCTAATCCATCGTGAGGGGTCGTCCTACACTGCGATGGCCAGTACGAGGCTGCTACTCGAGAACCTTTCTTCCCCAACGGTTATCGGTTCTAGGAGCTATATGGCCGGCCCATCGCCACTTCAGCTTGCTAATCCTCTGAGCTATATCGGTTATCTTGGTTCTACTGCGGATGTCTTCGTTACGAACTCTATCACGCAGAGAAATACCGAGCATAGCCCACTCCATAGCTCGCTGAGCGACTTTGAGCTTCCTCATACGGCCAGCAGTGAAGGACCATGTCTCGGTTCCGTAGGTTATCACTGGCAACACACATTAATTGAAGACTTTAGTCTTCAGATATGTTATGCATACTTTTTTCATTTATCCATAGGCTGGATGTATTTATGTCCGTATTTCATGTTTGCGAAAGCATATTGAGGAAGCAGTACAGCTATTACATTCTGGATGACGTATGAAGTTACTATTTTGTCCAATACTTTCATGTCATTTTAATAAATACCATTCAACATAAGCCGATATGTTATTTAATAATAAGCCGATAAGTAAGTTACTCCAACCGCATGTTACATAAAACTGGCCGCACGTTGAGGGTAAATGAGTCATGCAAAGTACATTATACGTTAAGGTATAACACAAAGTAGCATTTACAAATTATTACGTATGGTAGTTAGCAATAAGGTTCCCGAAACTCTTCTTTATGGGATAAATTGTTACTTACGTCCAGAACTAAGTGCAGAAACGTTAATATAGTTTAAATACGGTTGGGAGTTCCACAGATCGGAATGGGCAGGTCCGTCCGGGTAAGTACCACGACCTCACAGAAGACCGGCGTGAAGTAGAAGTGTTACACTTCTGCGTTTCGTCTGGTGAGTGAGGTAGCCGGGACCCACTTTATTTAAAGGTGGCAACGCATTTGAAACCCCAATTGTGGGGTTTCAAATGCGGTGTTTCGAATGTCCATGGGCGGCGGTTATCACTTAACATCAGGTGAACAGACAGGTCGTTTGCCACTTAGTCACATAAAAAATCGATAAGAGACGAGGTATTTGCGCAATGCAAGATGTCCTTGTCCGGGGATCTAAACGTAGCATAATCTGAGGCAGCCAAGTTTTTAATAAAGAACGTCGAAATACATGACCCTTTTCTAAATTACCTAAATAGCATAAGCATTAATGTAGAGAAGTGTACCCAGATAACCTTTACGCGTAAATTCTGTCCGATTTTGTTTCAATATACCATAAACAAAATTCCCTCACAAAAATCTAATACAGTGAAAGACCTAGGAGTTCTATTAGACTCGAAACTTCTTATGGTAGATCACATAAGTTATATAGTCGAAAAAGCTTATAAAACACTTGGTTTCATATTTAGAGTGTCTAAACCTTTTGATGATGGCGAATGAATAAAAAGAATTTACTTTGCGTATGTAAGAAGTACTCTGGAATATGCCTCTTGCGTCTGGTCTCCGCAATATAACTTACCATAACGGCGTCTCATATAAAGACTGTTGTCAATACTACAAATTACTTCCATTGTACGAACAGACGTGAATTATTAGATATGCTGTTTCTGCAAGCATTACTAACAGGCCAAATAGACTCATCACAGCTTCTATCTAGGCTTTCGCTTAATGTACCGTCTAAGCGTACGCGTCACAGTAATAGTCGTTTGTTTCACGTTTCACTCTCTCACACTCGGTATTCATCAAATTCAATATTGTCTCGCATACCACGCTCATACAATTCAACATTTTTTAACGTCGACCCCTTCAACTCAAATAGGAAGAAGTTTAAGAAACTTGTTATTGAATCATTGGCCACATTTCAAAATCTTTGAACAATAATCAAGCACATACACTCATCACATGCACACACACATATTTTATTATTTGTATTCATGCTGTAGTTTTCCATATAACAATAAATAAATAAATAAATAGTATAGGAGTTAATCGTATTGGACCTTGTTACGAGATGCAAAAAAATGTCCCTATATATATTTAACCATCAATACCTAAAATCCTTTATTATTTTTTCTTAGCTACATTTTCTTTATATTGACAAGACAACGTCATAGTGTTTTAGAATGCCTTTGTAATATATTTATCCATTCCTACACAGGGTTTGCGTCGCGATAATAAGAACAAAACCGACATTAAGGATATTCAAGCAAAAACCGTTGGTATAGTAACGACAAATAATCAAATCCAAATAAGCATTTATATTATAATACTAGCGGACCCAAAAGACGTCGTGTTCAGCGAATAGACGCCTTTACTCCGACGTCGGCCTTAATGGCGCGAGGTTGAAACACAAGGAGAGTTACGTCATTGTTCAACAATTACAAGTATTCATTTCGCATTAATTCAAACCGATTACTTTACAATGTTGACGGACTCGCAATTGTGTACATCGTTCGACGAGCGAAAACGTTGGCGCCCGTTTTTGGGAAGAATATTTTTTACGTCAGAGTCCGTTTGTGGGAAGAATATTTTTATATCATGTTTGAAATACGACTCCCACGTGACAACTGGTGTGTGGATTTATTTATTGGATTGATGGATTATGTGGATTAATTTTAATTTAATTATAATTAGATAATTGTGGCAATCAGGAAATCCAATGTGACAGACAGATTGATATAAAACATTGTATGTAATTATGTATGTATGTTTATTCGTGTTCTTTTTGTACTTCTGCGTTTCGTCTGGTGAGTGAGGTAACCGCGGCCCACTTCATTAAAAGGTTGCAGCGCATCTGCAAACCCACGTGTGTTGTAAATGTCAATGGGCGGCGTTTATCACTTAACATCAGGTGAATCGCCAGCTCGCTTGCCTCCTCATATAAGAAAACGATGTTTCTGTATCATTACTGCGTTCAATTTTTTTTTGCGGTAAGCAACGGCTTCATATTCCGCATGATCATTTGAAACACACGAACGTTTGCCAAATTCTTCAAAAAAAAATCATATTTTCTCCGCTCCTGCAAAGCACACGGCAACAAATATGCCGACAAAAACACTCGATGGGACTTATTAGTCAACCTACTACTACTCGAGAACCTTTCTTCCCCAACGGTTATCGGTTCTAGGAGCTATATGGCCGGCCCATCGCCACTTCAGCTTGCTAATCCTCTGAGCTATATCGGTTATCTTGGTTCTACTGCGGATGTCTTCGTTACGAACTCTATCACGCAGAGAAATACCGAGCATAGCCCACTCCATAGCTCGCTGAGCGACTTTGAGCTTCCTCATACGGCCAGCAGTGAAGGACCATGTCTCGGTTCCGTAGGTTATCACTGGCAACACACATTAATTGAAGACTTTAGTCTTCAGATATGTTATGCATACTTTTTTCATTTATCCATAGGCTGGATGTATTTATGTCCGTATTTCATGTTTGCGAAAGCATATTGAGGAAGCAGTACAGCTATTACATTCTGGATGACGTATGAAGTTACTATTTTGTCCAATACTTTCATGTCATTTTAATAAATACCATTCAACATAAGCCGATATGTTATTTAATAATAAGCCGATAAGTTACTCCAACCGCATGTTACATAAAACTGGCCGCACGTTGAGGGTAAATGAGTCATGCAAAGTACATTATACGTTAAGGTATAACACAAAGTAGCATTTACAAATTATTACGTATGGTAGTTAGCAATAAGGTTCCCGAAACTCTTCTTTATGGGATAAATTGTTACTTACGTCCAGAACTAAGTGCAGAAACGTTAATATAGTTTAAATACGGTTGGGAGTTCCACAGATCGGAATGGGCAGGTCCGTCCGGGTTAGTACCACGAACTCGCAGAAGATCGGCGTGAAGTAGAAGTGTTTAAACTTCTGCGTGACGTCTGGTGAGTGCCGTAGCCCACTTTATTAAAAGGTGGCAACGCATTTGAAACCCCAATTGTGGGGTTTCAAATGCGGTGTTTCGAATGTCCATGGGCGGCGGTTATCACTTAACATCAGGTGAACAGACAGGTCGTTTGCCACTTAGTCACATAAAAAATCGATAAGAGACGAGGTATTTGCGCAATGCAAGATGTCCTTGTCCGGGGATCTAAACGTAGCATAATCTGAGGCAGCCAAGTTTTTAATAAAGAACGTCGAAATACATGACCCTTTTCTAAATTACCTAAATAGCATAAGCATTAATGTAGAGAAGTGTACCCAGATAACCTTTACGCGTAAATTCTGTCCGATTTTGTTTCAATATACCATAAACAAAATTCCCTCACAAAAATCTAATACAGTGAAAGACCTAGGAGTTCTATTAGACTCGAAACTTCTTATGGTAGATCACATAAGTTATATAGTCGAAAAAGCTTATAAAACACTTGGTTTCATATTTAGAGTGTCTAAACCTTTTGATGATGGCGAATGAATAAAAAGAATTTACTTTGCGTATGTAAGAAGTACTCTGGAATATGCCTCTTGCGTCTGGTCTCCGCAATATAACTTACCATAACGGCGTCTCATATAAAGACTGTTGTCAATACTACAAATTACTTCCATTGTACGAACAGACGTGAATTATTAGATATGCTGTTTCTGCAAGCATTACTAACAGGCCAAATAGACTCATCACAGCTTCTATCTAGGCTTTCGCTTAATGTACCGTCTAAGCGTACGCGTCACAGTAATAGTCGTTTGTTTCACGTTTCACTCTCTCACACTCGGTATTCATCAAATTCAATATTGTCTCGCATACCACGCTCATACAATTCAACATTTTTTAACGTCGACCCCTTCAACTCAAATAGGAAGAAGTTTAAGAAACTTGTTATTGAATCATTGGCCACATTTCAAAATCTTTGAACAATAATCAAGCACATACACTCATCACATGCACACACACATATTTTATTATTTGTATTCATGCTGTAGTTTTCCATATAACAATAAATAAATAAATAAATAGTATAGGAGTTAATCGTATTGGACCTTGTTACGAGATGCAAAAAAATGTCCCTATATATATTTAACCATCAATACCTAAAATCCTTATTATTTTTTCTTAGCTACATTTTCTTTATATTGACAAGACAACGTCATAGTGTTTTAGAATGCCTTTGTAATATATTTATCCATTCCTACACAGGGTTTGCGTCGCGATAATAAGAAAAAAAACCGACATTAAGGATATTCAAGCAAAAACCGTTGGTATAGTAACGACAAATAATCAAATCCAAATAAGCATTTATATTATAATACTAGCGGACCCAAAAGACGTCGTGTTCAGCGAATAGACGCCTTTACTCCGACAAAAACTTAGAAATAAATCAAATGGAGCGGAAACACTTAAACAAAAAAACATATTCTACGTTATAATAAACACTTGGAACTCTTTTTATATAGAGCACACAAACAAAGAATCGGCCTTAATGGCGCGAGGTTGAAACACAAGGAGAGTTACGTCATTGTTCAACAATTACAAGTATTCATTTCGCATTAATTCAAACCGATTACTTTACAATGTTGACGGACTCGCAATTGTGTACATCGTTCGACGAGCGAAAACGTTGGCGCCCGTTTTTGGGAAGAATATTTTTTACGTCAGAGTCCGTTTGTGGGAAGAATATTTTTATATCATGTTTGAAATACGACTCCCACGTGACAACTGGTGTGTGGATTTATTTATTGGATTGATGGATTATGTGGATTAATTTTAATTTAATTATAATTAGATAATTGTGGCAATCGGGCAATCCAATGTGACAGACAGATTGATATAAAACATTGTGTGTAATTATGTATGTATGTTTATTCGTGTTCTAATTTTAAATTTATTCTGTCAAATAAGTAATGACATTTGTGCTCACAATTGACTTCAGTGTATATGGAAGCGCTCTATTCAAATCTACCATTGGTCGACGGGCTACGTAATATGTAATCAACAAGAATTATCAATATAGAGATCTTCCAGTTTTTTCTTCAATCTTTAAGATCGTGACAAAAGGCTTTAAAAATTCTATACGTGACACGCTATAGTCGGTATTGTTTCTTGGTTGATGCAGTCTCGAGTTTTGTTAGGACAGCTAAAACAGAGCTGCTGATTTTCGAGCTTATCAAGACCAAGGCGTTAAACACAAATGGCAGTGTGCAAAATGCAGGAAAAAGTATGAAAGTAACCTGGAATTTAACGACAACCAAACGAAGGCAACTAATCATTTATTAGACTTATTTTTTATAGTATTGTTTTTTTAATCGATGCCGTTTCATTAAAATATATAAGTGAGTGGTGCTGCGTTTTAAAATACTTCTGATATAACGTGGATATGTAAACACGTAAGATGGAAAACCCATAAAGTAATATAATTGGAGATAAAATCAGGAAAGTCATAATAAATTTTGGCTTTGTTAAAAAAAAAATTACAAACGCAAAAAAAAGACAGGACCGGCTCCAAACGCGTTGCTGAGATTCCACAAAAGGATCTCAGTCTCCTTCTTGAAAGTCAATCAATTGTATCGGTTGGGAAACACCGCTGGTGAAAACTGATTAACGCAGTTCAAAGAAGACCAATTTAAAGACGGAAAACATACGTCTCTCATGGAAAGAGAAAGAAAACGATTAGAAAATGTCGTAGGGTCAGGCAACAGTTTTCGCTGTTGCATGAATGGGCAGGTCCGTCCGGGGAAATAACACGGCCTTACAGAAGACCCGGGTGAAGGAGAAGTGTTGTACTTCTGCGTTTCGTCTGGTGAGTGAGGTAACCGCGGCCCACTTCATTAAAAGGTTGCAGCGCATCTGCAAACCCACGTGTGTTGTAAATGTCCATGGGCGGCGTTTATCACTTAACATCAGGTGAATCGCCAGCTCGCTTGCCTCCTCACATAAGAAAACGATGTTTCTGTATCATTACTGCGTTCAATTTTTTTTTGCGGTAAGCAACGGCTTCATATTCCGCATGATCATTTGAAACACACGAACGTTTGCCAAATTCTTCAAAAAAAAATCATATTTTCTCCGCTCCTGCAAAGCACACGGCAACAAATATGCCGACAAAAACACTCGATGGGACTTATTAGTCAACCATTATCACTTCTAGTCACTATGTCATATTGCTATGGATCCTTGGCACTTCCAGTCACTACGTCATACAGATATGGATCATTGGCACTCATCTCACCTGGTGCAATGCCTCCTCCTGCTGGGGATCCCGGTCGGTCCTCACGGCGACCTCCACGGTCATCGCGCGCGCCAGTATGCGGTCCGCGTACCGCGTGATGTCCTCCTTATCGCCTAGACAACAAGTACCAAATTCAATTGGCAATTCGAGCCTTCAGCAAACTGTTGGGGACGTAAATCTATTATTATAAAATTACCATGCAATCAAACTGTTTTTGAACCAATGTTCTTGGAGCAAGAAAGCTTTAATTGTAATGGCAAAATAAAAGCAATCTGCTGACTTTTAGGCGTATTATTTCTTAAACATTATCACATTAAACATAACACTGACATTCATGTGCATTGATAGATTGTAGTCTTTGACATGTCCTAGGATTGTATATACAAAGGCATTGTATATACACACCTGTATATACAAAAACACGGAGTGAATTACGTACATTCGGTTATATCCCCCAAAAGATCAGAGTGCTTCACGCTGTCGAGTGTGGATAGCAAGGAGTCACGCTCTTCTTCAATGCGTACAGTGTCTCGCCGTAACCTCTCCACTCGCAACTCTACTTGATCCAATACTGCAATCAACCTGTCCATCACATGAACATAAGTCTACAAGCACAGGTTTTATTTTCTAGTGACAAACAAGCAAGTATTACAACTCAACATATCACCCCTGCCCATGAAGTTCATACAGTCAGAAAGAAAGAAAGAAAGAAAGAAAGAAAGAAAGAAAGAAAGAAAGAAAGAAAAAGTGTTAACATCTACTTTATGTTGATCTGTGACTTTTATTTAAAGCTGTCTTGTTATTCTACTTTAAAGTCATAGTATTTCCTCAATCAAGCAATATGACTACCAATTCTGACAGTTCAATCAGTCAAGTAGTACTTGATCTGTCAAAAGTACATTGCTTAAGTAGAAAGTTTCAAAAATTAAACTGCACTAATAGATTGAGAACTACTACTACATATAAGCAATAGTTTGCTAATTTATTTGTCTCTCTAGATCTAATGAACCTATTCAATTTCTTCCATCAAGGTGAAAATCACCTTAAGTAATAGTTTATACAACTAAAACATCTTTGACACTCTCAATGATTCTCTCAATGAGACTCAGTGAAATGACAATCTGATAATGCAATACCAAAATTTTATAGAATAGGCCTCAGTTATCTCACTCACCAAAAGAAATGCCAAAGTTTAAGAGCTTCTATAAATTTAAGTAGGCTACTAATTGACCATAAAAAATTTCTCCTTTCAATAAGTAAAATTATGGAGTTTGATTTAGTATGACTGTTAATGTATAATTTATGTATAATGAGCAATAGAGTTTTATAATCATTTTCCAAATACAATTATTAAAACAATTTAAAACCATAGTATTATTTTTATATTTTAATAGACCATTACTGTTAGATCACACAAATTACTGTTAGGTCAAATAAATTCAACAAAATTATTTCCGTTTAGCTCAACTGTCTCCTCCTGTGTCCTCTTAAAATAAAACTTATATTTTGAAATATATGAATACAACCTTTTTAAATTAAGCATAATGAACAAAGAACTATATATTTAAGAATAATACAAAAATCTCTATTGTTACATAAACTTTGATTATGAATCATCATTAGCCTATAAAGTAACCGAAAATGGTCATACTTTGTGTTGATCTATTGATCTGTTAGTGGTTTATTACATTGACAATTTTTTCGCAATTTTTCAAAGATATGTGAATATAATGACAATGTAACATAAATCATACAATAACACAACATTTTGAATACTTAAGACATTTACGTAAGCTAAGTAGAAGATATTTTCCCAATAATATTATGAACTGAACTCGTAACGAAGACAACTCGATCGTAACAGTTGATTTTTAGAGCGTGGGAAGTAAAATATTTGTTAATTATATTTTTTAACTTAGCGAGTGGAAATTAGCTCACCAAATTTGGCCGAAAACGTTTCTTAGAAAAGGAACTTATTAATATCATATAACATTAAAAATGTTATAAGTTACCTATCTTTTGGAGCCTGAGTTCCAAGTGCTGAAGACTCATCGATAAGGGGCAATCGGGATCCTTCACCGGGATATGACCATTCAGCGGTTATACCAGTATATTGATCTACTTCCATATTCTCTGTTAATTCTTCGTTTCTTGTAGCCAGATTCGCAGTTAGAACGATTCCCGAACTATTATTATTGTTGTAGGAAGAAAACAAAAAGAACTCATTTACTCACGAAACAAATGTCAAAATATATTACTGTTTCTTTATCTGTAAGTGAAAAATAACAGACTATCTATTGGCAGACAACGATAGAAAATTAATTCTATGAGATAAAATTGAAGGGAAAAATAACTATAGTTATCTATTACTCGAATCGGATTTATGTAATATAGAAAATTAACATTATATTAATTTTTTATTTTTAGTGATGATTTATAACGTGCTCAGCGGTAAGAAAAAAACGTTCTATCCGATCAAAGAGTACTTTTGTATCTGTATATCTGAAATACCCGACCTGGTCAATGACAGACAGACACTAAACGTAGTGATTACATTATCTTTGCTGCACGTGCGCCATCGCCATAGATAAGACATATATACTGAAATCTTCACATTCACTTGCTTACATTGATTTGCAATCGCAGCCTACACATAATGTCGTCGGGTGCCATGCCGACTTTGTCGCAATCGAGGAGGAGCGAATTCTTCGCGTTATCATAAGGCGCATTTCTAAGTAACTCGAAACGAGCTCATCAATTAGACTTGACAGCGCAGTCTACCACCCCTACACGTGCATCGTATGCACGACCTTCGCACCAACCAAAACCATACATGTTTCTTTGCCACCTTGATTCGGTGTCTCTCCGAAATCATACATGAATAGTAATGTCAGGCCATGAACCCATCGTAGTATCTTCAGTTTATTGAACGCCGAATAAAAACATAATAAAGGTGACATCGAAGCACTGCAAAAATTAGGCGACTCTGTGTTATTAGAGCAATGATGTTTAATAATATAGATGATGCATGTACTGCGGGGCGTTAAAAAATTGTTCCGCTTTACATTACATGGCAAATATAATTAAATGTGACTGATGATATAGAACGTATAAGATACGGAGAGATAGCAGTCTCTAGAATTACGATCTAATTCCACCAATTGGCGTAATTTGAATGTCTCAGTTTCGTTGCGCAAGTATCATATCTACCTCGTAATTGTATATAATTGTATTAGAGGCTACTTGATGAATTGAATTTTGGAAAAGTACACGACTTAGAAATTAAATATTTTGATAATAAAAATTGCCTGCCAATGCAATTAGATTAAGAGTTTCGTTAATAAGCAAAATAAAACTAGTTTTTTTTTTTTGCTTGATGAGCCACTGTTGGCCTTAGGGGGCTTTACAGATCCGACGGATTTGGGGGTGGCTTGGCGTACGGGGCGCCTATTATTATTATGACTCCTCGCACCTATAACGCTGCTGCCCGTTATTGGCCTGGTTATTTAGGGTCTGGAGAGTCGAGATGGTGCCACTATCGCTCGACGGCTCCCGAGGGAGCCTTGGCTCTGCCGTCACGCTATTATTATCATCGGTTTGGGAGGCCGCCAAGCTCTTAAGGCGCTTTGGCGGACGCTCCATGTTGGGGAAGAAAGGTTCTCGAGTGGCTACTGGCCATCGCAGTGTAGGACGACCCCCCACTAGATGGGTGACCTCAAATGTGCTTGAAGCGATGGATGCACTCAGGATTCTTCATGCGTTTGCATTCCTAAGTTCAGCAGTGGACAAACAGGGTGATGATGATGATGGTGACTAGAGGAGGGCTCCCGAGGGACCTTGGCGGGCCGCGATCGGTTTGGGAGGCCGCCAAGCTCTTAAGGCGCTTTGGCGGACGCTCCATGGAGTGACTAGGCTCAAAGGCCCCCGAGGGGACCTCGGCTTGGGCTATCACTCAATTCGCGTTTAGCATTCCGATTCAAGGGTGCCAGAGGGCCGAACTTCGGCGCGATCGGTAGCTATTATCTGACTGGATAAAACCTTGTACAATGTTAAACTACTACATGGAGCAAAAAGCGCTTCATCGGTAACTGTTTGTATTTATGCCCTTATTACCTAATAAGAGCAATGTCATCAAATAATGTGACTACCGTACGATCGGTAAGCGTTAAGATTAGTTTTATTCTGTTTTTAAAATTTTTATTCTCTTCTACTCTCTATTTCATATTAATTTCTAGCAGAATTTTATATTATATATTTAATTATAGTGAGCGGCAAACTTGAGCATAAAGCGGCACGGTAAGGGAAAAGTTTACTTGTGTCCGCTGTCGCGCAAGCAACCCTGTCGATATTTCCTGCTAAGGATGTCCAAAAAATATCGATGTATCAATATTTTTGATTCCATATATCGACATTTTCAGGCGATATATCGATACAAAATATGCAATGTCGAAACTCGTATCAAAAACGATATTTTCTCAAATTCGAATCTGAGATTTTAATATTTGGGATACCTTTTTTTGGACAATGGGGTTTATAGGACCTATATCCGATACATCGATATTTTCTTTTCGATTTATCGCCATATAAATCAATAATGTCACCGTATATTCTAATTACATATTTCATTAGGTTTTCTAGTTTAAAAACTAAACATTAACAATTTTATATTTATTTTTATAATATTATTGAGAAAAAAAAAGACATTATGTGCACAAAAGAAAAAATCTGATCATTCTAATGCAGATATTTATATTGTATACTTTACATAAATATTTACCAAAATTTTGGTAGTGTTCTTTTACAAATAATATACAATAGACCTAATCTTAAATTTTTACTGGGTAGCATGATTATGGTGAAACTTCAATTAAATTATGGTGAAATGAAACGCAGATTAATAATAGGTAAGCGGACAGTATACATGGTGCCTTTTTATTGCAAACCTTCGTTGTTAATTTTTTTTGTAAAACAATATGTACGGGCGCGCAAGTTTAGCAATCGTGCATCCTAGAAGGGCGATAATTCTATACTAACAAACGTACGATCATGTGACAGTACGAACCTACATAAAGAAAGAGGTTTTAAGAAAAAAATTCAATTCTCAAAATTATCAGGTCAATTCCGATCATATAATATTCAACATAAAGAAACAAAATAATATTAGAATAAACAATGAAAGTTTACAAACAAAACAATACCACTTCAAAGTTTCGGAGTTATATATTTTAACCGTGGTAACAACTTTATTCCAATACTCATTTATTTTAATTTGAATATTGAAAATTGTACAATTTTTAATAATAAATTTACGTAGCTTCAGACATTGAGTAGCGATCTTTTGATTTTGGATGCCATGTAAAATAATATAACATCTATAAAGATGTTTTATAAAGCAAAGAACCTTTTTTAATGAAGCTGGACACTGCTCGAATATAGAGATTAATCCAAAAATCAATAATGTTCTCTATATATACACGATTGTAACCACGTTACTATGTTAATTACTATAGTTATTACTTAATACATATACAGGGAGGCTTTTTTAAAGGTGCCCAAATTTACACAGGAGGTTCAGACTCGGCAGTATTTTTCAAAAAAATTGCAATTCTGTTCCCTAAAAAACAGAACTTGTTGACAACGCCGGTAGTCATTCCGGTCATAAATACCTAAATTTTACTGTTCACGCGCAGAAGTTCATTTGTGTGCGTGTAGTTGTGAATGATCGCGGGTAAAATAAACGAGTTGCGTACAAATCACATGTTTTTGAGATGAGTTCAAATGGATGTAATTAATTACTTACGAGTTATTTAAAATATTTATAATTTTTTATATAACATTATTTATGTATAGAATTTAATAAAAAAAATGGATACACTTATAAAAGCCCCCCTATATAGGATTTTTTTAAAACATTAAACTACGAAACGTCAATAAATATTTGTAATACGAATATACCGATTTATCACCAATTATAAAAATTTGTAGTTGTGTGTATTCTAGTATCTCAATAATTTGTAACATAATTATGGTAAACTTTATTATTACAACAACTTTCGGAATGTAAGAGCTAAAACATTGTTTGTACATGTATGTACCTAATATTTCAAGGAAGCATAAATAAGCTTTTTACAAAAATTATATATTCACATTTATTATATATTCTCATAATACTCTGAAGTGTTGGTGGTGTTAGTTGAAAATTTATAAAATAATAAACTACTGCAGTTTGTTTAAAGGTATTATTAAAATAATAAATTAATTACTGTATTATTTTAATAATTAGTTAGACGAGGTATTCGTCGACTTACGCCACCCCGAATTACGCGGTTTTCAAATCTCGTTGGAACAAACAAAAGATGAATCTTTTGTTTGACTTTCAACAATTGCTGGATAGCCACAACCAGATGTTGGCAATTGATAAGCTCATAGAGATGCAGGAGTAAGAATAAAACATTGAAGAACTTGAGTTCTAAGACTCGAATGAAAAGATATCGGTTCGGAATTTGACAGACAGTTAAAATATAATAAAGCGGGTTACAAATTCAAGAAGAGCGTATCTACAAAATAATTAAAGAATCAAATTTTGCTGGAGAAAAAAAGCGTCAAATGGCAGACTACTTTAAACAAACCGCTTTAGCGTTTTTATTATATATCTAATGGCATTTATGGACGTATTTATTGAGATTAATGTAAGTTAAATAGAATAGAATGTAGTGAAATAAATGTTCAATGTCCAATGGTTCATCATCTCAACCAATAAAAGAACAAGATAATCAACTTCGAAGTTAAAGATTAAACAAAATTATATTAAATTTTTACAGCACATATATCATAAAATAATAACGACTTATATAAAACACACTAGGGAAAAATAATTCACATACACATGGCATAGTAAATTTCTCACTAATAAAGCTTAAGTTTATAAATAAATAAATGTCAATTGGGCTTCTGTGAGTTTATATTTTACAGTTTCATGTAGTGTTACCGCTAAAATGAAAGTCACCTCCAGATGCAAAAACGTAGATCACAAAAGCCATTTATTAATCAGAATCATAAAAACTACGAATTGCCTCGGGTACATAATTAAAACGTGAAGATATGTTGTCGCATACTTCATTTCGACTTCTAAACACATTCATAATATATAATAACTTCTAAACATATTTATGTACTTGTAAACTATGATGTTATGATAGTTTACAAGTACATTTTTACTAAAAAAAACCAAACCCACTTGAAAAATGTTAATCATTAAACATTTTCTATTTGATTTTGAGAAGTTCTCCAAAGTATCTCCAGACTCCAGGGTCAAATATCACTTAAATTAATATAAAACATAGGAATACAAAGCATAGGAATTAAGCCGAACTCGATGCTAAAAGAATTTTTAATATTAACCTTTTGATAAATGACGGTTAAGAGAAAAAACATGATTGAATTGAGATCCTCCTCCTTTTTTGAAGTCGGTTGGAAATGAAATATTAGAATCGTCGAATTTGTGGAAGTGTAATTAACTGTCATTCGAATAATTATATATATATATATATATATATATATATATATATATATATATATATATATATATATATATATATATATATATATATACATACTTATGTATGTGCAACTTAAAGGATTTTACTTGATCGTATTTTTGAACTAATTCCAAAATTTTATTTGCTTTGAACACATTACTTTTAACTGATTCTTGGTAAAACTAAATAACATTAGCGATTGACTTGATGTCACATCTTTTTTTATTTACGCTTATCTTATAAGGCAAAATCTTCACTACGATTTTGGTCTTTAGACAGTTAACGACGGAGGTATTTATATTACATTTATAACTTCTTATAATACATAATCACGACGAGGATAGAGTATAATCTCCAAGGCAACAGCTCTGGAACAGTTGCCGTCTCTATCGCAAAATGGCAGTCCTTAAGTATGAGGTGGGCACGAAAGAGATAGCATCACTTCCCGTTCCACTCGCTAATCTTTCCATTCTCAAAGACTAAGTTCTTCCTCGGTAAAGGGATTAAAGAACCGCGCTTCACTATCCCCATATCTTCGCCAGGATAATACTGAAAAATTTAACACTACAGGTCAATTACATATTACAATCGGATGTTGAAATTTACATTCGTTGTTGAAGTTTATCTGTCATAAAAACGATAAAAAACATGAAGCATGTATGTGCTTCAATATAGTATACACCTGCATAGAGAGAAAGATTGATAAGATTAATAAGTAATAAAGGGATGGAATTGCCATCCACTACACATTTCCTCATTAATCCCCAATAGGCATTTAACCAATTCATTCACCATACACCCTATTTTATCTATTTTTTATTAATTATAGCGTACCTGACACTGTGACACGAATTTGAGAACATCGGACCGGATAAACTCGTTATCCTCTTTAATTTTTTCTAGGCTGCAAAAGTAAATTAATTGGTATAAATTATAACATGATTGAATAGTAGTATAAATATATAAGGCTAAGCAATATACCATAGGTAGGTACTGAAAACAACACATCTCTTTTTAGAAGTAAAGCATAGAAGAAAATAGTTTATTACTTAATTGTTAATTTGATAAATAATGAGAAATTTATAAATATATGCAGTAATATGAACAGTAATAACACCCCAGTTAGAAAAGTCTACTTACATTTCTGGTTTCGCTATTTTGTCAACAATACTTTGACATACTTTTTCACATAGAGCCTCATCAAACAACGGAATGCCGAACTGCAGATCCAGAATGGTCCATTTCTGTTAAAGAAACGCGAATAAATATCGTATACGTTCGTAAAATAAAAACTATAACATAAAAACGCATGAAATTACTGCCAAAAATTGTCCTATATTAATTGGAATTATAAAGCGGCAAAAGCCTCTAATTATTATCTTGTTTTCTTTTGTATGTTTTCCACAAAATAAAAATAAAATAAAATGTCAAATATAAATCCAGAGACAAAATCACCTCCGGTTTGCAAGTCTCGTCGTCGGAGAAGTTGTGTGCGGTATCCACGCCGCTGTCTTCGGTGATCTCGGTCAGTTTGTCAGACAGTTGGGTGAACATCGATATCGACTCCTCGGCGGGGCTCAGCAGGTCGCCCAACTGGTTCGACGACTTTTCGTCCGCCATCCTCGAGTCGAGCTTCAAGTTCTCGACGCTGGCGGACGAGGAGTGTATCGGGACCAGGTCGTCGCAGAACGAGATCGACTCCTTACTGGTCGACCTCTCCTTGCAGTGCTTCTTGAGCTCCTCGACGCTGGCGGAATCCGAATGGATCGGAACGAAGTCGTCGCTGGTCGAGATGGACTCTTTGCTCCGGTGTACCGAGTTCTCGTCGACGTTCAGGCTGTCGAGTTCCTCGCAGAGCAGTTTCCCGCCCTCGACGCTCGTGAAGCCGTTGGCGGGCGAACCGGTCTTGCTATCGGCGGTCGGTGTGACCGCGAAGTGCGACTCTATCGGCGACTGCAGTCTGCTGTTGATGGGTTTCGGATATTCCGTAGATCTCTCTACCGACTCGTTGGACGACAGCGACACCTCGCTTAGAGGCTTGGCCATGCCGCAAATCTCCTTTTTCTTACGCTGCGGCACTGAAAAGTAATACTATAAATCACTGAAAAGTAATACTATAAATAAATTGTTGGCGTTTATGATCAATACAAGTCTTGCTTTTTATTCTTTTTAATTGTTTTTTCATTCATTTTGTAATTGATTTTCAGGAGTTCCCGAACTATCAACGAAGCCCAAGATCCAATGCCAATGAAATTAATATGGGACCACATGAGAGGCACCAGGCTTCAAATAAATAAAGAATCATCAAAATTCTCCCTCCCAGTCGAAAATTATGAGTTTACTACTCATAACATAAAAAAATACAGTCGAATTGAGAACAATCTCCTCTTTTGAAGTCGGTTGATAACGGTACATAACTTCGTAACTCTCATAACGACTCGTAACGACTTCACAATGACAAAGTAACTAGCGCCCGTTCGTTAAATACTTCAATAAATAAATCGTTTAATATAGGAACCGGGCTTGAGCGAGTGATCGGCTGAGCGAACGACGGAATGAATGGTTGAGTGAATGAGTGAATGAGTGAGTGAGTGAATGAGTGAGCGGGTACCGAGCTGAACGGCGGGCGGCGGGCGCGCGCAGCCGAGGTCCGGCACGCCGATGTCCGCCAGCGCCACGTAGCCCGCGCCGCGCGACAGCCGCAGGCGGCGGGCCAACCGACGCAGCCCAGCGTGCGTCCGCCACAGGCTGTCGCACTCTGGAACAGTACTCTTTTAGATTACTTGCCTTCATTTTATATTTGATTCCCAGCAAGGGCCTTGCTAATATTGTAAACGCGAAAGTTTGTATGTATGGATGGATGTTTGTTTCTCTTTCACGCAAATACTCAATGGATTTAATGGAACTTTAAAATAATATAGCTTATACATCAGAATATCACATAGGCTATAATTTATGTACATATTTTTCTGTCTTTCTGTATGAATGTTACGCCTTCAGCCTATTCTACGCAGACGTAGTCGCGGGCAGAAGCTAGTCACTTATAATTAGTCCTTGACTTGTAGAATTACCATCGACCAGTTAGACAGTTCGGCAAATCGTACTATTGCAATAGTTCTGCAATCAAAGACTAACAATTTTGCGGTTATACAATTACAAAGTCATAAAGTGTGAAAGGCGTCACGCTTTGGACAATAAAGCTCGATGAACAGATATACTTAGCTATAAAAATTAACTGTAGAGTAACACCAGCTTACGTAACAAGTCTTGCAGCACGAATAGGAATCTAAGGACTGCTTCCCAGAAATCGGTGTAATATAAAGCTATTCATACTTTTGCTTTTCGTCCGATACGCCATACGCTAGCAACATTTCTGTTATTGTGTTCAAATAAAGCCCGGTTCCTATATTCAACGAACTGCCGTTATTTACATTGTCATTATGAAGTCGTTATGAAAGTTACAAAATTGTGTAGCTAACGGCCGTTCGTTGAATATAGAAACCGGGCAACCGGGCATTAGAGACGATCGGTCCGCTCACCGGCGTCGGCGCCGTTCCGCGGCGGGAAGGGCAGGTGTCGCACCGGCTGGTGGCTCCGCACGGCGGCCGCCTGCAGCAGCACCGGCGCCCTGCGCAGCGCCGAGTTGGCGGCGGAGAGCGCGGCCGCCGCGGGCAGCGCGCCCGCCTCGCCCTCCGCGCCCCACCACGACACCGCCAGCCGCGCGTAGCCCAGCAGCGGCCGCGGCACCCCGCGGAGCACTGTACCTGCGTGTTCCATTCTTCTATCTGACAATGCGTTCATTTCTTTTTTTAAGGGTACTGGCCAGTGATTTTTTTTATAATGAGCGGGCAATTTTTTATATAAGGAACTGGCAAGCGTATTTACAACTTTGCCAGTGATTCTTTTTTATTTTTAAGGAACCAGCCGGTGTCTTTTTTTAACTAGCCATTTCTTGGCTCCTGGTGTATCCAAACTGATGATGGTATAGCGGTCGAGAATACATATGGGGCTGCGTTAAGTTTAAATCTTAGCAAGGAATCCTGTTTTAGAGTCATCAAGTATTAATATATTGTTACAAATCTATTCAATTCAATCTAATGTTTTTAGTAAAATTTAATTAATTTTATTTTTAAACAGGAAACTCTACATTGTTAGTTCTTATTTTTTTAAAAAAAAATCTGTCAAGCGGGTCGGAAGTAGTTAGGAGCAGCCTTGTGTATACCCGCACAATATACGTGGTATCTTTTTGTGCCTTTGGTATGTACCAATGGAGTCTTGTGAGGCTGTACCTTTGGTGAGCAGCAGCGTGGGGGGGCCGTAGCCGGCCACGTGGTACAGGTAGAGGCGCATCCAGGGCGAGGCCGCCTCGGGGGGCGCGGGCCCCACGTGCGGCAGCACGCCGGCCGCCGCGCCCGCGCGCGCCTCCCGGGACAGCGGCGCCGTGGAGATCGCCAGTCTGCTCGACGACAATCCACTTTATTGTTAAAATTTGTAGCAAAAAGTACGAAAAGCTCCTCCCCGCTGCGGGAATCGAACGCACGTCTTCGGGATTCGCGCCCCGAAGCTTTAGCCACTAAGCTGTGAGTGCTGCGTGCGTGTGTGTGTGTGTGTGAGTCTGTTTGTATGAGCCTCTAGGGATTATTACAATTGGGATTGAGTAATTACATAAATATATATAAAAATTAGTTTCGAACAATAGCAACCAAAAATCTCACCTGTATTTAGTCGCGAGCAGACGCGCCCTCGCCGCAGCCCCCAGCGCGTGTAGGGCTTCGCAGCGCAGTAGGTCCAGGGGGCGAAGGCTCGGCCTGAGGGTCCGAAGCGCTATTCGGAGGCACGCCGCCGCAGCCAAGTAGCGACGCGCCTCACCCTCTATTTCCGGATCGGCCGCGACCTGCGCAAGAGAGTGAAAAAAAAGTCCAGCCTATATACCTACGTATGCTGCACAAAGATTATTAACGCATAGTCCATAACGCGACCCCACATCGGTTTGTAGGATTAGTACTATATATCAATTGATATATCTTAGAAATATTTATTTTTTCGTTATTTCACGATGTTTTCCGATGAGTACGTGATAAATCAGCACTTAAAGTTAACAATTCCATTGGTGCCGTCTAGGACCAGGGATCGAACTCGGGTTGCTCGATTATATTGAAGCGAGCGTCGGGACAGCTATAAACAAATGTAAAACTATGAAAAATATAAAAAACAAAAATAAAACATAAAATATTTACTTTTCAACCTACCCTGGGTAGGTGTTATATAATATTTAACATCTTATATCAAAGAATTATTGTTTAACTTTATTTTTGTTTATTTCAATTGTTAATAATTTACCTTCTTTTTAAGAGAGAAATAAAAGCGATAACACTATAAGTACTTTTTGAAGATTGTTAAAACAAAAAATTTGTATACCTTGTCCAATTCCATGAGCAGACTGTCCAAACTCTCGTCGCACAGTTTACCAACTTCGAACAGCGTTACTGCGTGGCTTTTTAAATCCTGTAATAAATTTCATAATCAATATCACTTCCCTATTTTTAGTGATAACTAAAGCGCAGAAAGGGATTTCCGCTTACCGGTGACAAATTCCCCATCATCAGATAAGCGGCGAGTGTTGAATCGAATAGTACGGCCACTCTCTGACCACTTCCATTCGTCGCTGACTCGGATACATCTTGAGAGTTCTGTAAAAGTGTTTGACGTTCTCAAGTATCCGGCTCGAAGGACCATTATTAAAATCTTTCTTTTTAGCTTTTGAGTAAAATGTCATTGAAATGATATAATTATAAAAATATAAACTACATTTTAAATAAGACAAAAATTGATGTATTAATAAATATGCGGTATTTTCGATAAAATACTTGTTTTGATGTGGACGGCGCATCTTTGATCAGAATCGGTTCCATTTGTAACGTGTCTTCTTCCGCATTGGGGTCATACGTTAGTGGCGCTATTTGCCTGTACCTAGAGGGCAAAACTTAACATCAATTTATATGATTTTTACAATTAACAAAACATATATTAGTAATTAAATGACTGAAAAACAATTAAAAACCCAGCAAAACGCTATTGTTTTTTTTGTTTCAAGTATGTAATCAACACCATTAAGTATTTTTTATAGATCTCTGCACAATCTTTTTACGAAGCAATGAGTATATTATATTTATTGCAACAGAAAACAAAATAACAATATTGTAAAACGAATAAATAATTAAATGCATATCTTTGACCACTTTTCAATGTAAAACTAAAGATAACGAGCATGACGTGGCACGTCCATTCCCGCTGGGAGATAATTGGCGGCAGTTATACTTGATAGGGGAAGAGCTTAAACATTACTATATTTGATGGTGCTGATGATGTTGTTAGTGTTAGAGATTTAATCAACTGCTATAGTTGAGGGTGCTAGTGAAAAAAGCCGCTCACGGTTGATGTCTATGGGTGGTGACGGCATCCCTCCACGACGGGTGCTGCGGGGACACTGGCTGCGGGTTCAGGTTGTTGGCGAAGCCCAGCCTGCAGTACAGGGATACCGCCTGCTTCACCAGCTCGCAATCCACCTGCACCCGAAAACCAATGTATGACAATAGTTGTCACACGTTTATTCCGACTTCGTTTGTATTTGGTATCAGTTAAGTAGTTGGGAGATGAAAGCCGTATTAAGAACGAAATTAAAAAATAATAATTCATGTTAATAAAGTTTACATGGTAATTTTTGGTGGTACTCTGTTATTGCTCGTCCTTGTGATGTACCACGGCTTTGAAGACGAGAGCGAGAACGGGTGTTATACGTTTGCGTCTATCTGAATCTGGTTGCGAATCTGAAATCCCACAGGTGTTGTAGATGGTTGGCGGTTATCTACAGCGGCACCGACACCGTTTACAACCGCAGTGACGGTTAATCGTCGTAATGATCATTATGGATGAAGATGCTGTGAAAACAATAAGCACACTACCCAATAAAAGGATAGAAGGAAGGAAAATCGTATAATAGTGGATAGTGTTGAATAATGAAAACAAAAACGAATTATTACTATTATCTCTTGGAGCATAAGCAGAATGGTGAATCTGTATATGTGGGTAAGGAACTAGCTGTATTTCTCGGAAAAATATTAGATTAAACTTAAAGACAATTTAAAGATTTATAGGGCACAGATCTAGTACAAAGGCTGGTTTTCATGGTCAAGCTACGATTCTATAAAGAGTCAGGGGTGCGTGCTATATCAGAGGTTGTCGATTAAGGGTCGACTGTGTTAATCTATTGCTGTGCACGCGATGTTTGTTCCGCCACAAAGCCTTTCTATAAATTGTATGTCAATCTGTAGAGCTTCTTAAATACATAAGAAACAATTTTACGTATTATAAAACGGGAGACATTTTGATTTTTAGCATTCAAACCAGACCTGGTATCAAAATTCAATTGATTAGGTCTATTAGTTTAAAAGACTGGTTAGGCAGGATTTGGTTATTCTAGTTTCGTAAAACTACTTACGCTATTACGAAGAATCTAATGATTTGACTCTGCTGAGTAAAGTTCCGACAAAATCTATTTCAAATATGTTACTCAATTAACATTTTGTATTTTATTTTGATGAGCTCCCTGTATCTCCGGAACCAAATTCCAATAACATACGTATTTGTTGCAATAACATAAGTTCCAATAACATGAAATGAATACTACTTGGGAATTTAACCCAATGCTAGACAATTTTTAAAATCAGTTCGAAAATGATTGAGTCAAAAGTATTATATTTTGTGTGGAAGGGGTTGGCTAAAAGTTCCAATGACCACTGCGACCAGATCTAGAAAGGTCTATTGCAGTCTTCCCTTCTAAAACAATTCCCTTTACTGTAGGATAGCATTATCCTGTGTTGTAAGGACGTTCAACATACATACATTTCACGTGGACAAACACCCAGATCCGAAATAATTATCTGTGAGTCACACAAATAGTCGTCCCGTGTGAGAATCGCACCAACAACCCGCGGCGCCGAAGCCACTACCCTGGAAACTGCGGTACGGAGTCATCGAGTTCAAGGGTAACAAGTCCATTTTTTTACAAATGAAATACAAAAACCAACTTCAAATGTCTCGCTCTGTATTCATTTTATAATTGATTTTCAGGAGTTCAAGAACCAATACCAATGAAATTAATATGGGACCACATGATAGGCGTTCAAATAAAAGAATCATCAAAATCGATTCAGTCAGTCGAAAGTTCTGAGGTAACAAACACAAAAAAATACAGTCGAACTGAGAACCCCCTCCTTTTTGTCGGTTGACAAACATAAAGAAAAAAACAACTGAATTGAGGTTCTCCTCTATTTCTAATGCCCGGTCCCTATATTCAACGAATGGCTGTTACTTACATAGCTTCGTAACTGTCATAACGACTTGTGGATAAAAGGCGTGTACGCCCGGTTCCTATATTGACAAAACGGCGTTCTCCTCACGAGCCGCTGCGTTACCCACGGAGAGTGAGTTGCTAGCGCGACAGTTGCAACAGTTGGTGACACTGGTTGAGAGGTAGGAAGGGACAGCGCACCTGAAGCACAGCCGCCAGCTCGGCCACGCTGGTGTGCTCGTCCACCGACACGAAGACCTTGTACAGCAGCGTCTCGAAGTAGTCGCCCGCGATGCGGTTCATCACGAAGCCCCTCAGCGGCGGCACCGACACCTTGTCGGCGGACGTGATCGGCACGTCCAGGTATATCAGGCCGCGTCTGAATTCAGTGACACGTTTCGTATAGTGATCAGTGTCGGATTAACCACAGAGACTTTCCTTAAAACGTAATTATGTACTAGAGGTGGAAACTTGTAATTGACACTCTATATATACAGCGTGTCGTTACCATCGCGACAATAAATGAACACACATATAGGAGATAATTTTTTAAAGTTGTATTAAACATTCAAATTCTTTAAACATCAATATTTACAGATTTATAAAATTTTCCAAAACAAAGAATTTTAGAACAGCCTTACCTATAAAAGCGTAACGTAAAGTTCATTTGTAAAGGTCACAAAGCACATGAATGGGTGGAATGAATTTAAAAGAGACAAAACTGTTAGAAGGAGAGGCTTATAATACGACGCTGTGGCTGTTTTCGTTCAAAATTTTATTTATTTTTCGTTTGCTATTGATTTTACAGTGTAGCTTTATATTATCTTATGTTAGTCTTAGTTTTATTTTAGAATTACGTATTGTTTTTTTTTTATTCTAGTTTGTAATACTATATTTTTTATTTCCTTTTTTTTTTTGTTAAATTAGGTTTCTGTTTTCTTGTGAGAGTTCATTTTGTTGGTAAATAAATTTGTTTTTCTTTTTCTTTATGAATGATAGAGGGAGTGATTGTGACGATTAGTTCAGTGGCGATTAATTATAACACAGTGGCGGGTATACACACAGTAACGTAAATAGCACGTAACCCGTAATATACTTATGTAAGTAAATGTAACCGTTATCGATGCCTGCCATTCTGAAATGTTTTACTATATTCGAATGATTAATATTTCATCAATTCAGTTTTCATTTTACCGCTTAATTTTATCCATGAGATGTAATCGAAAAAACTCCATGAAACCTTTTTGATTTATGTAATCGTCTATTTCGATTTTAATAAACAGAAAAGGGAAAACTACTTTAGACTTCTATATATAAACTTGATTTGGTAATAGACAGTAATAATAATAATTTTTTACGTAAAATACTTTTTTTTACTATTTAATATGTAAAAATAACGTATATTTAAAATAACTTGAAAAGAATAACGAACCAATGATATATTACAATAGTGAATTTAAACATATCATTCATATCAAAAATAAATTACACATATAGATATATAGATTACAAATACATGAATCTTACCTGTACAGAGTTTTGACCACATTGTAGTCTAATGTGCCGGCTGTTTGCGAACCACGGTCAATTAGCAGATCGATTAACGCCTTTTCGCTCTCACTTAAAGGCTGCAAATGCATAAGCGGGTGGAGGCGATTAAGTACAAATGTTACTGAGAATGTATATTCATTATTTATAGCAGGTATTCAACTGTTTCGAAATAAACACACTGAAGTAAAACGTTTTAGGCCACACGAGCAAGTTATAACATAAAACAATACACTCATTAAGTTACAATGCAAGTTTGATTAAAAATATTACTCCAAAATTTCATGCATGACTAAAGTATGAGGTACATTAAAAATATAGTGCTTTAAAAATCAGTTATGTCTTATTTAATTCTTGGTAAATTCACACGGTTAAATATTAGATAAGACATTTATTAAGGTAAAACTACTTTTTTAATGTCAGAAAGTAGAGTCCGGGCTTGCGGTTCACCTGATGTGTTAACGGCCGCCGATTGAGATATGCAACACCCGTAGGGTTGCAGAGGCTTTGCAAGATCTTAAAAAATTTGGCTGTGGCTTCATCACTCCCGCCGGTCTTTTGTGAGGCACTTACCCATACAGACCTGCCCATTCGTGCAACAGAGAAGACTATTGCGTGGTCCTACCACAGTTAAACTATTAAATAGTATTACAATATCAGCAACAGCTGATATTGTAATACTATTTAATTATATTAGAAGTTAAAGAAAAGTAACAACTTTTCTTTAACTTCTAATATAATTTTAAGTAAACTTTCGTAATAATTTTGGATCGTTAATGGGAAAATTAAGTCAAACTAAAGTGATCTCTAAATTCGTTGTTTAGAGTCGATATTACCTTGACGTCGTCCTCGAGTACGTAACCCAATTCAACCCGCCACCAAGGCAGCATGGGTATGTTGGTAGGCACTCGGGGCAGCAAAGCCCGTATTGCTCTGGAACGTCCACGTCTGCCTAACGACCTGGCTTTCGCCACCAACTCCAAATACTCATTGCGCCCAATTCCAAGGAGGCGTAGACCTGGAACAATCATTTTGAAATACCAATTTCACTTGCACTATACATATACTTCACAAAGTCTTTACTTTGTGAAGTATATAGTGCAAGTGAAATTTGTTAAGTGTTACTTTAACAGCCCATATGCCCCACTGCTGGGCAAAGCCCTCAGTTCAGACTGTATTAGACCTTGTGACTCCACTGCAGATTGGTGCACTTCACATATTTTCGAAATAATTTTTTTATTATTTCGGAAATATGCAGGTTTCCTCACGATATTTTTCGTCACCGCTGAGCACTGATAAGTCAGCATTTAAGATTAACAATTTCACTGGTGTGGGCATTGGGATTCGAACTCGAGTTGCTCTTATATATGGAATTAAAAGCGAGGGCCCAGACAAAAAGATATCACAGCTTAAGAAGTCCATTCTTGAACATCAGGGCCTCTTAAATAATTTATAAGAATAATATCTCAAATTACATACTTTTAAACTATTTCTAGATTTCATCTATACTTACAGTCAGCAGCTGTGAAATTAGGCATCGTATCATAACTCTTCTCCATTTCAATGAGCAAGGCGACAACTTCCACATAGTATATAAATGGTGTAATCCTTAAACCTGTAAAAAAAAAAAAAATAATAAATTCAACCTAGAATTGCGACACTACATAAAGCTCAGTGAGTTATAGCAGCAATGACACACGCTCTACATCTGGTGTGCTGCACCACAACATAATGTGCATAGACTTACAACAGTACAGTATCTGTATGTTTGTTTACCTTAAACCACCAACCTCCAGAAGGTGGAAGATCTTTGATAGTTAATCATTTTAAATTTGTAACATGGCAAAATATGTGACACGCAGCTTTAAGTATATAAAAGGACTGACACTAGCAAAACACAGAGAAGTACAAAATTTCCCAGCAGTCAAAAATTTATCACAGCAATTACTTTTATAAGAGTCAGTTATTGCATTCCGGGTTATCCAGCACATTGGGAGAACATTTGAATTCAAAATCTTTAATATTATTGTTTGATTAATCACATCTCAGGAATGGAAAGAACTTAGATTTTGCAGAGGGTGTTATTTATATTTCATACCTTTCACAATCATGTCTGCTAAGTGATAGGGGTAGAGCATAAGCTTCTGTATGCTACTCTGTATAAGAGCCTCATAATATTTCCTCTCATCTTTGCGAACTGTACGCACTGTGAATAATTAATGTATAATAATTTAGGTCATCACCTTATAAAAGGTAGATTGAAAAAAATATTTCTTTAATATAATTATAGAATTATAAACAAATAAATTGTAGTGAGTAAAAGCTGTCAATGTTATCATTAGCTCTTAGACTTATTTGTCTCTACATGCTTACACAATTATGGTGTTATTAAATCATTTATATATGTTTTTATTATTGGTGGATAGTACATAATTATCATTATTATAACTTACCAAGACTACCCCGATACCGCAGCTGATTTTTTATACTAAACTCAACAATGTATCTCTCATATTCCTTAGGAGAATCACCCAATAGCTAGAACATATCAAGTAACAAATAAAACTGCATGAAATTAATGTTAACTTCTAAATTTCATGGGGCGTGAAATAAATTATCAATACATTAAACACTATTAACAAAGATGGTAAGATATCAGATAAAAACAAACTGATCTGCGTAGCCACATCAAAGTTAAGAAAATTTCCTATTCGATGCCAATTTCCAAAACAGTACCTTTTTAACATTTGCCGGTAACTGCGACCACTGTATTCGTTTCCTAATACATTCATCAATTTCATCCTCCATACTGGAGATTATGATTATTTATTGTTTCTACATTGAACACACAGATTTCTAAATCTTTCTGCAAAAATATTTTGATAAGGGAATGACAGCCACATTGCGTTCCAAAACAACAGCATCGGGCACTGTACATAAATAATTTTATAAAAAAGAACTAACTTTAATTTTTACATATTGCTACTAACTTCGTTAACAATTAACTATATAATAATAATATTTATTTCATATATGCAATATATATTTATATTTTTATTTATAAACCCAACCAGACGAGAAAACAAATGAATATCCCCCCATAATATTAAAACAGGTAAATGAATTATAGGAAACATATTTTATCATTAATGAACGACTCCAGGCCATTGATAAAAGAATATAAGAGGATGTCACGTTATGTCACGTGTGCTGAAGCCAAATGTTTCTCTAAAATGGCGTCGACTCCGCCCACAGAAAATAGTGATGTTTTATTACGTCCATTTTGATATCGATATATTGATTATATATATGAAAGTTAACATTTTTGCGTGTCATCGAGACACGCAAAAATGTATGTTAATTTTCATTTGTAACCACTAGATGAAGGGTAGGGGGTAAAAACTAAAAAAAAAATCTTAACCTAATGTAATTTTAATGTAAACTAAAACTGGTATTTGTTATCAGCATTGTAACATAAAATAAATTATTGTCATAAATAGTTAAATAAAATAAAAAAAACAATCAGTATATTGATTAAAATCGTTTATTCATGGTGGAATAATATTAATTTTGTTAAAATGTTGCGCTTTGATATATTTTCTGAGTGTTTTTTTCCATGAAACTAAATTAACTAATTGACTAAATTATCCAACTAAATGAACTAAATTATGTTTCTTCAAATCGTCAATAATCGTTTGAAAAGTCGACACCTTCTGCTTCAGTCTGCGGCACTTCTGACTGAGTATCTTTATTTTCCTTTTCTGTAACTTCACTTGTCTGCATAACTTGGACTTTTTTGGTTGCATTAACTACCATAGCCTAAAAAGTAACGTGAAATTACAATAAATATTTTATTTTATACATAAGGTTAGGGAGATAATTAACAGGGGAGATTCGTGCTCTGCAGTCGAACATACATAGGGTTGATGCAATTAAATTTCATCAAAATATATACTGAAATTAACGTATTGTGCCAGCCTTTAATAAGTAGGATACTAGTTAATGACGATGATGCTATTTTTTAAATAGAAGTTAGAAGAAATACTCACCATAAGAGTTTTCACCTGAATTTGTCGTCTTTTGTTTGAGTCTGTTTGTCGTATCTATGTCCATATTTGTCAATATCATTGGTACATGCTGCAAATTATTAAAATTATACATTAACAATAATAATTTTACTTTATGTATGCTATGCTATATATTCTATCTATATGTTTACTTTTATTTTTATGAACCCAACCAAATAGAAAAATACCCAAAATAAAAAACAAATAAATATCCCCATAATAATAATAAATCAAAAAGTATTAGAACGGATTCACCAGATCAAGTCAAATTTCTCTCACTTCTCAAAACTTTTAATCTTAATTGCAACTTAAAATATAAGAGAGCATAATTAATAAATAATTAGTAAAGAATAATTCCATTCTGTGCTGTAAGATAACATTAAAGTAAATTATAAATTTGTGAGTGGTGTAAATTACATCATAAAACCATGAGAGTATTAGTGTTCAGTGACCACACCCAATGTTCTATTTATTCAAATTGCCTCAAAATGTTTGGAGCATATTCTGAGGACTCTTGCAGGTTTTATATTTTCAGTGCCTATGTTTTCCATCCATAATTTGCGGAGAGCCTCATTTTTCGGAAATCTAAAATAAATAAATATTAATTTAATACATCACAGCAGACTTATTATCAAAAACACAATTATACTTCACATTTTCGATGTCCCTGAATGATGTATAATTGTATTATTTCATTTTAATCTGACTATCAATACGAACTTGATACTTTGACGAGTGGAGCCAAAAAAAATAAAGTCTCGATAAAATTTTCAAACAACCATGCTATGAACAACACTACGTTTTCATGTAAACATTGCAAATATTTACTTATTGACTATTTTACTTGTTAGTAGTAGTTAGAAGAATAAAAAATAACCAATAACACTATATGTACAATTTCTGTTATATACACAAGTAGTATCACATACGAAAAAGTACAAAAAAAATACAAAAACTGGAACTAACCTAAAAATGTCAATACTTCGTTGTTTTTTCCAGCATTCGAATAACATCCTGTGATGTAACACTGTCCCATGTTAAATTTTTTTCCACTTATCTTTACAAACACTTCAGAAAATACCAGAACACACACAATTCACTATTAAAATGAAAATAATTTTCGAACAGCAACTATATGACAGTCGAAGTACTTAGAAAAGTGTAGACCTAAAATGGCGGCATGTCATGAAATGTGCTTCAAGGCGGGGCTTAGTGACGTAACGGAAAATTAAAACAAAAATTTGAAATTCCTGACATATACTGTACTTTATTTACATTTATAAATTACAACGCGTTAGAGTGAGAGAGATATGTTTTTGTAATTGAGGTGTATATTTGCATCATATTTGTATAACGAGAAATTGTATATGCAATAAAGGGCTTATCCTCTTATATTCTTATATCAATGCTCCAGGCATAGAGTAAATCAAATCAAGTATGAAACAGACACCTGACAGTGACAGAGTGTCAGATTTTCTTCTTCTTCTTTGATTAATGGCCTCTCTTAGAAGAATTCTGACAATGTCATGTCAGTCATGGGAGTCACACTTATAATTAAGTTACAAAAAAAGACTGGTTTGTGTGATACTTCCGAATCTACAACAAGAACAAAAAAATGACATATATTATCCCATTACCAAAGTGATTGAATGTCAAAAATGACACGTTTTAGATAATAGAGAGAGAATGTCATTCGGACACTGTCTCCTGCATATCATCTTAGTAGTCTGTGGTCTCCTGACACCAACAAAAAAAATCACGGCAATTTACTGCTCTGTGCGTTATTATACAATTAGCTTTGTTGTAAATAAGTGCAAATGTATTAAACTTGCTCCTATAATCTTTTAGTAAATGTAAATAACTTTAACTCCGGCGTAATTCAATTAAAATAAATTTTAAACGATAGAGATAAATCTCTAATGAATTAATCAACAAGCAGAATTCGGCGGTCGCTTATAGTTTTCGAGAAAAAAATATTTAAAACTTGTTTTTTGTACTAAGAAATCCACCAATTTATTTGTTTGACTTCAAAAATTCAATACACAGTTGTGCCAACATGATAAATATAGGAGCGGGCGATATCATACACATACAAGTATGGATATTCCGATTTTTTTTTAATTTAATGAGTCACAGAACCAATTAGACAAATCAGATATACAAAAGTACTCTTTGCACAGAACCGACACAGAGCGAATCCGACTCGGACAGATTAGGTTAGAAGGTAGCTTAACCTTCGATCTTAGGTTTTTTTTTATGACCACCAAGAAATACGAGCTGAATTGACATATTGACAACAAAATAATGGCGGATTTCTGTAGTAAAAATCACACTTTTTCATTATTTATTTTTTCGAAAACTATAAGCGACTGCCGAATTCTGCTTGTTGATAAATTCATAAGTGATTTTTCTCTATCGTTTAAAATTTATTTGATTTGATTTACGCCGGAGTTAAAGCTATTTACATTTACCAATCTTTTTCCCTATTATTCTTCTTTGCTATGTTAGTGTATTATGAGACAGCTTTGGGGCGTTCACTTATACCGTGCTTGGCGTGTTCATAGCACAGCAACAGCCTTACGGCGGTTTAGATGTCCCAGGAGGATTTTTAATGATTATGCATATGAACGAACGAATATGCATTTACAGTTTTTCCGACATTAGTCCACATTTAAGTTAGTCTGGGCTTGCTCGCTTTTTACAACTAAAAATGTTACATGGGTGTTTTTATACTCTATTAATTTCATGCATTATGTCACAAAGTTATGCTGATGCATATATCTTCTAGATCGTGTGCTAACCTATAATTCTAGGCCAAACCACTACATAGATTTATTTTTGGAACATTAGGTGTAATGTAATGTCGGACCAACTAAATTCCTTTTACAGAAACTATTTTTAAATAGTAAAAATTGATTTACAACCTATTTCATCAATGTTTAGGACAGCATTACTCTAAAAATATAAAATTTGTTATATAAAATATAAAGTTTGTCTTGGAGGCAAATCTATATTATATATCTTTTCATATAGTATTAAATAATTTAAACCTAAATGTAGAAATGCCGTAAGAGAGACATAAAAGTGTAATGGGACGTCAGCACTGCTCTCTTGTTGGTGCATTGTCGGCGCGAGCGGGGTGTTGCTGAAGCTGTGTGAGAGGCTAGTAAGTCAGTTCTGTTACATTGCATATCCTTGTATCTTTTATGAGATTCAATTCAGCAACCAAGGTCATCAGTAACAAAGATCCTTAGGTGTCTGCGGACAGGGGAAATCAGAGTAGAAGCAATTTTTAAACTAAATAAGATTAAAGCGAGGCAAGGTCATTGGCGTATCTAGGTCTATTTTTCAGGGTGGGCCCGGGCCTTTACAAAAAAAAATCGAACAATATGCGTCTTATTAAAGAAATAACAGTTCTCTATCGTTAATAATTTATATTAATCTATAATAGTAGAATTAACTAATTAGTAGTTAGTACGTTGTGTATTCACAAGTAAATAAACGGAATGTATTGTAAAATAGAATAAAAATTAAGTATGTACATACATTTCTCGGCTGTTGAAAATTATTTGATTTTTTATGAAGTTTCTTAGGCATCCAGCCTAGAATTTCTAATCAGTACCCCAAAATCCTGGGATGGGCACTAGACGATACTGGGGTGGGCATGGCCCACCCGGCCCCCGTGATATATACGCCTATGGGCAAGGGCTGGCTATGGTTGAAGGCCACTACAGTTTGTGTCCCTAAATATTATCAGTGTACATGATTAGAGTATCATGTTTGTAGTAGACACATTAGCAATGTATGAATCTGTTGGTAATTGCACTATATATTCGTCATAATTGTGTTAAGGCGAGTTTGGTGACAATGTTATAAAAACCCATTACTTGTATAATAGGTTGGCATTGCTTTGGTTCTGAAACAGGATCTAACCAACTTGCTAGCGCTTTCATTTATCAAACAGAATCCATTATTCGTCGCACGTAACAATTCGGTTCAAAATTCCTTCACTTCTGTGCCTGTTGAGCAGCGCGAGACGGGTCTCGAGGCGTATGTTGCGCTGGTGTTCGTTTAGTTCGTGGGGCAATCTATCAAGCTTTATTACCTTGCCAATTTGTTGCAAATGGATCAATATTGCTATGCTGATGCTCGGCGGTAGATCGTTTTGATTATTTTAAAGTATACATTATGATGAAACATACTTAAGAACGAAGAAACCTGAATCCAAGAGTCAAAATGAGTTCTAAATATTGGATATTTCCCGTAAAATAAAAACTGTTTCATCAGTTACTTAGGCTTTAAAATATTTTTTTCTTAATTGAATCGTCATTGGCTAGAGTGTCGGGCGCAAAAAAAAATAACTATAAAATTCATATCATTAAAAAATAAAAATAGTCTTTAGGCTAAGTTTAAAAATGAAATTTAATAAAATTTCCAGAAATAACATTGGTTTAGAGGCAATGAAAAAATTATTTTGTTTGAATTTAATTTCATTTAATTTCATATATCTAGTCATATTCTTCGTCAAATGCCTTATGAATTTCCTTCAACATATCGGAGGCTATCATCCCACGTCCATAAATCTCATAAGCTCTTAAGTTACAAGCTCGTGTTAATTTTGCAGCTGCATAGGAGGCGACGCTTTGTGCAAACGGAACTGACTGCGCGTTTTCACAGATATTACCTTTCAAAGCCCAATTATAAAACGTTGCCAAACTTCCAGATAAAATATCTCCTTGACCACCTGCACGTCGGCCAGATCCACCTTCAGATGAAGACCACTTGAAGGGAGCACTGCTGGAAAAGAACCTATCTTGCGCTCCTTTAGTCAGAACGGATACATTGTTACCCCAGTATTCATACCATAATGAATACCGTGTCGGAACGGCTTCAATTAGCCGCATCGCTTCTTTGTGGTTCGGGGTGAGAATAACACCTGGACTAGGGTAATCTTTTAAAATTGACATATTTTTCCAAACTGCGTACAAGCCATCTGCATCAATAACCAAAGGTTTTTTCAAACTTTTGCATGTCTCTATTATTTCATAGGTTAACTTCATTATATCATCTTCCCGCCCCAGCCCTGGTCCGATGACTATGACATCCATTTTTGATAGTATAAAATTCAGCTTAGAGGCGGTGTTGGTATTAAGGAAGGGGTACACTATAAGGTCTGGGCTGTATGATTTGATAATTGGGGCCGCGTTCTCCGTAGTTATTACATAAACAAGATCGGCTCCTACCTAAAGCGAAAACATAGTTTCAAAATGATTTTTACGGTTTGCTGTAGAAAGAAAAAATATTTTATTATAAGACTCATGGTAAAAGATACAGATGAAAGATGTAAAGGTTTTATCTTTTCATTTGTATTGTATTGCACAAAATCAAAAAGATAGGGCGTTGAATAAGTTTGTCGTCCAGATTTTAATTTCTTTGATAAATTAAAAAAAAAACTGTTAATAACAATAAGTGAACAAAGAAATCCTTACACTGGCAGAATGTTGACAACTGTTGCCGCAGTTTCATGTTTTAGTAATAGTAAATAACGAAGAGAATTATTACCAATTACCATTACATTATGTTAAGTTCGATGAAACTTAATCAATCATTGCTAAAAGTAGGTAACTGGTACTAACAAAAGTATCGAGTACTTATTCGTATTTACTTATATCAGAATATCCCTAAATCAATATAGACATTTCTATTTTCTATTTTACTTTACCTATTAAGTAACAATCAAATCAAAGCTGTTTATTAGATTTTACCATCGTATTATCGTGATACCATTCGTTCTCTATACTTATTTCAAACATACCCTTAATGCTGATATAGCGGAGAAAAATGGAGCTCCAGTGTATTCCACGGAACCTCCAATGATGCCTATTTTTCCAGCCTCTCCTTTACCTTTACCGCCAAGTTCAGGAACAATAGATTTAGTGACCTTTTTGAGATCACTTAAATCTAAATCGCTAATATTAGAACACTCTTCTAAAATTAAAGATTTTATGACACATATTTTAGTTATAACTACAATATATATACACAAAAATTTAAAGTAAATCATATTTGCACGAAATACGAATCGAGCGACAATAAAACAGAAATGTTATTTGACTAGAATACTATTAAAACAGAGTGGCATATCAAATTATCATTCACAAATATCGAGTTGGTCGGTCCACCTAATGTGATATAAGATGAAGGTCAACAACACAGCATAGTGTTATCATCCAGTTCACCCATTACCGGTCTTTAGAACATTATGTCCAATATTAACCTAAGATAATGGTACCTGACTAACATTTAGTTGACTACTATTACCGGTAAACGAAAGATTATACGGTAACTTGTATATTTTATATTATAAATTTAATGGTATATTGCCCATGTTTTTTTTGCATTCATCCTCAATTTATTTATTTTTTTTCGTATTATAAGCTTCAATGGTTTCCGTTTTGCAAGAAATCGCATAAGGGATATCTTAGCCCTTTGTTTAAACCTTTTCAATATTTCTTGGGATAGTTTCATGGGCAATTTGGATATTACAATTTTTGCTTTGAACATTATCAACATTTAGAAGTATATTTTCTATGTATTTTTATCTAATATTCTTTGTTTTGGAAAATTTGATAACTCGATAAATATTGATGTTTAAAGAATGTAAATCTTTAATAAAATTTTAAAAAGTTATCCTCTATATGTGTGTTCATTTATTGTCGCGATGGTAAAGACACGCTGACTTTAACCATAAATTACTCATGCGTCGTGACAGTCCCAGCAACTGCTCAGGTTGCGTAGAGCTACGCTTGCATATTCAGTATAAACTTAGATAAATAGTTACCTGTGTCCGAATTTGTTTGTCCGAATAAAATATATTATCTCCATAAGTTTTGATATTCATGGATTTTGTTAGGAATACTGTATTGTTTCTATAAAGATTGGTTTGGTAAAATTTTTTGGCATCGGGGGCATTATTATACATGGTTATGAATGCTCATTATAAATGAAAATTTTCTTTCGCTTGGAAGCATTTAGTTGTGATTGATTCTTTTATGTTGATTAGTAAATTGCAGTGAGTGAATTTTGGGAAACCTCGATAAATTCATGGCTTCAATCAAGTTTGAGGAAAATACGATAATTCTATGTTAAATCTTAACAACACTTTATCTCTTAAACTTTCATTATTTTTTTGAACTTTCACATTTCTTCCAATTCAAAACATCCATTTAACAATTTTAAGTTGGAAGACCTTGCATAGTCACCTGTGCCGTAAGATTTATATGGCATTAATAGCTGAATTTTATTTTTAATGGTATTAAATTATTATAATTTACTACATACAAAACAAAGAATAAATATGTATTCAAGGAGTGAAGTAAATAATTAAGTACAAAACTTACACAGATGATTGGTCCCGTTATTTTAAACCGTTCGTGTTATAAAACGCTACGTTAACCGATCGTGTTTAACTTTGCCGTTGTTACGCATGACAGAGAGCCTAAAGTTCGCAGTTTTTTTCACGTAGCCATCAGAAGGCCTAGTTTGATTGCAGAACAGCGACAATGTGTTTATATTTAATCAATAGTTTGACTCGGGTACCTAGTTTGCCCTAAGACTTACTGTATTCATTGGCAAAGGTCAAGAACTGGGAGATTTTGTTGTTTGAAGGCTCCTATCACCTCTTCTGTAGAGATGTCCCTAGGGATCATTTCAATTACGACACGTGGAAGTAAGCCTCATTATCCCGGAGGAACTGAGACACTTTGCTGAATGCATCAGCTTTTTCCAGCTACAGCTTAATTCGCTTTTCTGTGGGTATCGCGACGAATTTTAGCCTATTTGATAGTGTGGACGCTATCATAGGCCAAATGTCGGTGTCCTGGACAAAGAATAGCGTTTTTTTTGTTTACCGTGGCGCGTGGGGCGACAGGTGGAGAAAATACCACTAAGCAAATTGCCGCATTGTCGTCTTTTTCCTTTTAGTCTAGGCTTCGAATGCCATCTGCAAATTTATTTCCACTTTTTTCTTTCCCAAAATAATACGAAAACCTGGTCTCCCGAGGGTAGTTAAGCACGATACTGTGCACTATATAAAAATAACAAATGATCCCCTGATTTCTTAACAGCCTAGCCCTTTAGACCAACAGAAACAGAGAAAAAAAGAGTTTAGACCATGGTAAAATCGGTCACATCACAAGCATCTAAAAGGCCATAGTCATCTCTATCGCATGTGGTCCGCCAAAAAGACAATAAATAGTTGTGTGTTTATGTGTTGTCTTTTTCATTATATCTCACGTTAGCTGCTAGGACTGCACCGGATCGATATCCTTTGACAAATTAATAACTTTCATATAACCTTTCTGGGGCCTCAATTGTTAGTACAATTGACGTCGTGAAGATCTGCCATCAGATACCAGTCATCAAAGAGCATATTCCAAAGACAGCCATCGTTACACCGTTTAGTTCGTTCTCAGCAATGTTGGTCAGACCTTTCAACGATTTAAGAATGAGGTCATTCGAGGTCTCCATTTTTGTTTCCCTTACGTAGAAGACATCCTGATTATCTCGCCGAGTGAAACAGTCCGCATGGAGCACTTGCTGAGATTACGGTGTAGTCGTTTGTTTAAAATGTGGTCGACTTTTTTTTAGTATCATCATCAGCCGCAAGACTATCATATATAAGTACAAGTATATCGTATCCTAAAAATGGCCTGGAAGGCACCAGCAACCTCCATCAGACCATACCCGAAATATTACCATACCCTAGCAACCTAGATTTTCCCTCTTCAAAAGCAGTTCAGCGCAATCGCCGATTTCTCGGCATGCTAACTTACTACCGCCTCTGGTCATCCAAGCTTTTAGGACTCTTTTATGCCCGAAAACTGCCACTCTGTTACAATATTCACTTGTTAACACACCTCTTGGACCTTTTAGCCCTTGGGGCTGTTGATTGGTAATCTCAGATTATACATACTCTTTTGATGTAAACTCTAACCTGTTTGATTTATGTATTGTTTGAATTACTGTAAATTTGGAATGTTAGTTTTATTTGTTCAGACTGAATTGTGTCCTATTTGATTGATTCCGTAAAAATCGTTTGGAGAAGTAACATGTCTAGCTATCTAACATAACTCTTGTATTTTATATAAATTTCATAATGATTCCGTTTCGTCAAAAATAAGTTCAGTTGAAATAAATAGTTTTCTTATCAGTCCTTAAATCTCTTTTTGGCTTGAAAGAGATCCCATTAGCCACACCTACTATTCAAGAGGGGCATCTAGTACCAATATTGGATCATGCATGCTGCGGATAGTAAAAAAAAGAAGCAGAAAGAAGCGTGGCTCGATCACTGTAGAAGAAGTTGCAGGTACATTCGTATCTGGATATCTCATAGCGTTCCGACTATTATGAATACAACCCAAGGGTGTCAATTCGAATTAGCATGCGTTCATCTGTCAAGGAAGATTTAAAAACTAGCCGGTGAATTGATTTATGGGGAACCATTTATATTGCCAAGGGGACTACTAGTTACATACCTGTGACTTCGTCATCCAACTAGATAAATAAGGCACCGGTGCCTGTATCTCGATATTGTCAACCTGGGTCGTTGGTGCGCATAGCGCGTTTTGTGTGTTGTTTTCTTTCTTGTATTGAATTTAGAAGAATGAATTAAAATCATTTGTTTATGAGCACCGCAGGGAGAAAGAAGGGCTTCGCTTTCCAGTGAAGTGCATCGGCACAATGCTGGAAAGTGAAGAATGTGATCGAGTTGTAACATTTATGCTTACAACTTTCTATATAATTATTACTTGACGAGCTGAATGTTTAGTTACTGTTGTCGTATATACAAAAATATTCATCTGTCATTGTCATTTTGTCAGTTTCTGTCGAGCATAAAATCAGATGTGACTGTGTGACATGAAAAAAGTACTATTTTGAACTCGCCGATATGGATGAAAAATATGAAACTGTCCAATTATGTTACACTGTACATAAGTATTCTAGTTATTCAGCTAACTACATACCCGAGTGCGTACATAAGCTATTTTGGTGTACTTTGTTAAATATATTTACCCGGTCTATTATACCTATTGTTTATTTTTAGTTTTAAATATTCATATATTTAATCGATAAACTCAAAGAAGTAAACAGTGGTTTTTAAAGTTAACGTGTATAAGATATAAATCAAATCTTTTTGTTTGTAGGAATATTATGGTGAATAACCCATCTGACCAGCTGTCGAGATGGTTTACAGATAGCACGAACACCGCTAACACATTATTACCACAATTTATTATGCTGAAACTGAAGTCCTTGTCAATAGTAGACACAATAAAATTTGGTAAATACATTAAACCGCATGTAAGTGATCTAAAGAAATTCCAAATATTTGGTGGAATTGACGAAAGTAATCTTTCTCTTCTTTTGTCAGCGTAAGTATTTATATATTTGTGTATAACATTAGTGTTTATATAAAATTGATCATTATCATTTTATCAAGATTTGTAATTTTCTTTAAATCCTTAATTTATGATGATAAAGGTTATTATGTTTACATTTAAGGACAAGAAATCGAACGCTGCAAGCACTAAGTTAAAAGATGAAATGATTAAGCATTGTAGATTTAATTCAGTAATTCCCTTTGAAACTTGTTTACCTTTACTTTGACATTTTATTTTACCAATTATTGACATAATAGGAAATCATAAATTTCAGGGGTCTCAAGAAGGACAGTGCACCAGAAGTATTCAAATTGAGAAACAGAACTACAGAAGGCTTCTACCTGCCTGTGCAATATATTAAGATTGTACCTCTTTTGTCCTGGGGCCCAGCTTACAATTACACTATCTGGTATGTAGAGCTGCATGGCAGAAATCAGGAAGATTTTATCAGGAATGCTCTGGAAACTATTAATTTGGTAAGTTGTACATGAGAATTGGGGTTGTTCTTTCATCCTTCAATTTATGAATTCTTAAAGCAGGCCTTTATAGCATTTCTAGTACATGCGCGGCCCTACCCACCGAGGAGGGCCTCAAACCCGTGGGCTCTGGATAGCCCACCGGTTCTGCATTCCATAAAGCTTTAGTAGTCTAAGGACTGAAAGAGGTAAGTATACAGTAAGATATACTTTCACAGCGCAAAGAAGAGGAGGCAGTCCGTATACTTTTAAAGCATTTGCGTCGGCGGCGTTATAAGGATGCTTTTGAAGCATTGTCAAGGGAAAGTGGAGTACAGCTTGAAGGACCTACTCAGTCTCGACTATGGAATGCTTTGGTGGAAAACGGGGATTATAAATTAGCAGAAGAAATTTTGGAGGAGGCATTAAATGGTAGGTGCGCTGCCCATGCCCATTAAATAAAATGGCATTGATAAATGTGACTATCAAAAGTTGCCATTTCTTCAGTTTTGAAAATAATATTTCTTTAATTAACATATATTGATATAACCTAAGTAAAGAGCATTATTGCTGTAGTATTACTTGCTGGTTCTTCTCTGGAATAGTCTCAACTTATATAATAGCCTGTATATGATTAGTAAAATTTAAATAAAGCCTTAATCAAGCAAAGATGACCATCATCTTTGGCTGTAGATTAAAACTAATATGATAAGGTTTTAAAGCAAGACTTAGTTTGTAACAATGGTCAGTAGTTTTGACTTTGAACATTTTTAGAGAGCCAGTTATCAAATAGGCCAATGAGATGATACTATATAGACTATTCAAATCAATTTTGACTGATTTGAAATTTTGTCTTGAAATCAAAATCATGACTTGCTATCATAGAGATGCCATTAGACTTTATTTGTGGGTAGTGAGTCTTAAGAACCAACGCAACATAGAGGATGTATTGTAGTCTTGACATTATACTTCTTTTTTATTCAAAACTTCCCACCTCATGGTAATTGGTGTACGATAGTAAGCGCGCTAGCTCAGTAAAAACCTAAATCCAGACTTGGATATTATGATCGTTTGAATTCGTTTCTCGGATAGAGGGCGAAATGGACTGGTACCTATCGTGGCAGCCCTACCAGCCGCACTGGCGGCAGCTATCCGGGTGCTCGGCGCAGGTGGAGGCGCGGCTGTGCTGCGGGGACGAGACGCCCCCCTCCCCGATGCCACGCCCCCCAGAGCTGGCGTGCTCCGACCGCGAGCCGCGCCTCGAGCTGCCCGTGAGTATTCCTGCCCCAGCGGCAACCAAACTTTTGACGGTATAGACTACTATGAATACTACTATACTATGAATATATATATTCTATATATATTCATAGTATACAGGGAGGTTTTCTAAGTGTATCCATTTTTTTTTATTAAATTCTAGACATAAATAATGTTATATAAAAAATTATAAATATTTAAAATCACTCCAAATTACTTAAATTAATGCATTTGAACTTATCTCAAAAAGTGCGTGATTTATTGACAACTCATTTTTTTTACGCGTGATCATTCATAACTAACACAAGTCGTTTCAAAAGTATACGACGCATTTATGAATGACTACTGCATTGTAAACAAGTTCTGTTTTTTAAGGAATGTATGTTTGTTTTTATTTCAATAAACGATTATACTACTGAGTCTGAACCGCCTGTGTAAATTTGGGCACCTTTAAAAAAGCCACCCTGTATATTCATAATCTTCATCCTCCCTGCCATTATCCCACGTAGGTAGGGTCGGCACAACATCTGAAGCATGTTGTAAGAGGTCTTGCCTATGTTTTACGACCGCCTGTCTGACGTCAATCCTCCTTGGCAATCAAACACCCAAAGTAAAATAAAGTAACAGCCTATACATATCCCACTGTTGGGCCTTCTCTGTACATTGGGTATTAGGGCATAGTCCACCACGCGGCACCACTGTGGTTTAGTGGACTTCACATATCTTCTAAATATTTTTTTTGTTACTATTTCGAAAATATGCAGGTTTCCTCACGACATTTTCCTTCACCGCTGAGCACGTGATTTCATTGGTTCTGGCTCCGAGGATCGAACTCACGGTGCTCGAGTATATTAAAAGCGAGCGCCAAGACACTGAGCTATCACTGCTCAAACACCCAGATCCGGAACAATTATCTGTACACAAATACTTGTCCCGTATGAGAATCGAACTCACGACCCTCGACACCGAAGTCAATAACTTAGCAACAGTGCCACCGAGTCATTAACCATCTTTATTTGTATGATTCCTATATAATCATGTATTATATTTACGTGAACACTGCACTTATAAATAAAACCGTTTAAAAACTTTTAAGTGAACCGGTTTTATTTTATGTTTTTTTGTTAAATTTTTTTTTTGTTAATATTGTATTGTCATCTAAATTAAATGTGTGTACCAAATTTCAGATCAATCTGACAACGGCAAGGTGCTTAAATTTCAATTTCTAATTTTGACCCAAACAAACAAATTCCGTACGGGTCGAGCTAAATAAAACCGTTTAATAAAACTAAAGTAATATTAGCATTTATTTAAAATTAAATTTTCATTCAAGTTAAAGTCGTCACCAGGATGTATCACATGAACTGTTTTTTTTATTTTATTTTATTTTATTTATTTACTTCACCAAAAATATACACATCAAAACAAGCTTAAAACATAAATAATTACCATAGTATCTTAAACTAAATGGTATCTCAATTACAGGTGAAACGAAATTCAAAAGCTATTATATTCAGAGATATATTCAGAGTTTTCTCTCTTAGGGCGGTGCTTTGTGACGTCAGTATCGTTGTTACTGTACGACAGATAACTGTCCTGTTTGTACAAATCGGTATTAATATGCGATAAGCAAGTCTGTTTACTGTCTGTACCGTCTCGAGATACGTTTGTTGATGTGCCTTGAGTCCTCTTTCCACAACTAATATGAAAACTCGATTTCTATCCATCGATAGGTGTAAGGGATCTTTAAGTAAAGAGCTGGCAACGGAATTGGTATTGTAACTTTCTGGAGCTGCGATTATTAATGAACGCTTGCACCGCCTTTTCGATACAAAAAATCCTTCTTTCTTTAGTCCCTTGGCGCCACAACCCTTTGTGGGTCTTGGCCTCCTTTACAATATCCCCCTAATTGTCTCGAAGCTTGGCTGTCCTTCTCCAGTTTGTGATCTTTCCCATCCTCCTCAAATCTTCCTCAACACAGTCGATCCAACGCTTTTTAGACCCGCCTTTCGGTCTCTTCTAAAAAAATCCACGTTTAATAAATCCCAAAGTTTCTACTAGATATAATAGAGATGTGACTTTCGTCTCCGTAAGGACTTCCGTAACTGGAAATAAGATTTGAACCCGTTACACCGTTTCATTATTGAATTTCTCTTTTTTTTTAATCGTGTTCTTTTTCGTATTGTCACACGATAAGGTTATTTGTTATTAATTGTGTTCGAATAACTCCATATAGCGACATCTCACAGAGAAACGTCCAATAGCAGTACTTAATTGCTAATAATGAATTGAATTGAATTGAATACCCCGCAGTTTCGTTTAACATGCCGTACAGAATACATTTTTTGAAAATGGCGTAAGTTAACAAGCAATCGACGTGGTTTCGAAACAAGGAATCGATAGTGAATTAGGCTACTGGTGTGTAGGAAGTCGATGGGCGGTGATTTGATCAGGGATACTGCACCTTTTCTACCGATTGGGAGATTAATAAGGATATCATGTATCGGAAGCTGCTATTATATTACCAGGATGTGGCGAGTAACGGTGTGGAGGGCTTGGTGACGTGTGAGGTGGGTTGCGGAGGAGGATGTGCGGCCAGGCCAGGCCCTCGCGGCGGCCACCAGCTGGTAGTGGACCCTAATACAGGTATCTCTTCTTGTTTCTTTTTTTTATTTGAAAAGTTGTCAAGCGAGCAGGTGGTTCACCTGATGTTAAGTGATTACCGCCAATCATTGATATCTGCTACACCCGAGGATGGCAAATGCGTTGACAACATTTTGAAAATAGGGCTCCGGCCCCCTCACTCACCAGACGAAACGCGAAAGTATTATAGTTCCACTTTACGCCGTTCTTCTGTGAGGTCGTGGTACTTACCCGGATGAGCCTGCCCATTCGTGCAACAGCAGAGGCTGCTGCGTGGCTCTACGACCGTAAAATATTCTCCGTAAGCTTGATCGTACCCAACGCTGCCAGAACCAGTAGCAATCCCGTCACGGTGAAAACAAGGTGGCAGGTGGTATTATTATTATTATAAATAATTATAACATTATATAAAAAAGAAGAATATGTAATCATTTGAAACCCTCTATACTGTGTTCCGGTTACAGTGTCTTCCCCTCATAGTAAACACTCATTGTTATTGTAAGAAAATGAAAATGAAAAGAGAGAAAGAGAATAATACAAAAAATAATTTCGAAGATATGTGAAGTCCGCCAATCCGCAGTGGATCCGCGTGGTGGACTTGTATAGGCTGATACTATACTTTACAAAAAAAATGTTTTGAAACAATAGATTAGGTTTAAAAATATTAAAAATCAGGCAAAAAAAAAAATCTCCTCCGCGTATGGATGTATCTTTGTGTGTGTTTGTGTGCGGTTCATTAGAATAATCTCATAATGATTCACCATTGGGACACAAATAGATTCTCGGTTAAACTGTAATCAAAATTGTATAACCAATTAAGTGCGCTTCTGCGTCTTTTCTGTCGTCGTTTGTAATGAAATTGAATGAATGTTTACTTATAATGTATCGAGTTATACATTGAGCCTTATGGAAAGGATTATAAATAAATAATGAAATTACTAATTAAACATTAAATCTACCCCTGTTCTATCAATGAGACTAAGCTGACTAAATTAGCCCATTAAAAACTTACGTACCTCCACTCTTTTCTATCCTTTTTACCTTCCCTTTTTTCTTCCACTACTTACCATTGTATCACAATCGATTCGGTTTACCTGAGGGTGAAAAAATAGGCTCAGAGAAAGCCTATTCAAATCCTCGTAGTGGTGGAACATTTACATTAAAAAAGATACTTATTTAATTCTTATTTTTAATATGTATACAGAGAGCCGTGATAGCTCGGTGTCCGGGCGTTCGCCTTTAATATACTCGAGCAAACAGTTCGATCCCCGGTGCCGGCACCAATGAAGTTTTTAACTTTAAGCGCTGACTTATCACGTGCTCCGCGGTGAAGGAAAACATCGTGAGGAAACCTGCATATTTTCGAAATAATAAAAAAAATATATAAGTATATATTTCGACGATATGAAGTCCATGAATGGTGGATTATGCCCTGATACCCTCTGTATAGAGGAGGCCTTTGCCCAGCAGTGGGACATGTATAGGCTGTTACTTTACTTTACAATATGTATACTTTATTATAAGTACTATCTAATATATACCTGATTGGCTGACTGTCGGTCGATCGCGTCCGTGATTGGTCGTATGTAGTTTCTTCTTTACATTAAATTCTGCGGCCGCAAATAGACTGTAAAACGAAACAATTTCGCGGTATTTTAGAACATAGGTAACGAACGACATAGCTCAGAAGACTCGTCGGCTGTATGATAGTAAAGATTAAGCTACACTCTCTGTCTTCAGACACTACCTATTCAGCGGATGAAAAGATGATTATAAAACTGATTATAAAACACTAAAGCTTAAGCTCTCCGTTTTCGTCAGGCACGCTCTACCTTTTCGGCGGCTGGAACGGCACCGAAGACCTGGACGACCTTTGGTGCTACAGCACCGTGGCCGAGCGCTGGACGCTGCTGTGCCGGCACAGCAGCATGGCGGGCGGCCCCTCGCCTCGCTCCTGCCACAAGATGGTCTTCGACCCGGTCCACGAGCGGCTGTACACGCTGGGCAGGTACCTGGACAACGCGCAGCGGGTGCCCAGCAATATGAACGTGAGTGGCCTTCATTGGGAATTCCTCATACCTGCATATTTATGTATTATTCAGGATATCCAGTCCAGTATTGTATATGTATAAACATCCAGACACTAGATCGAACCTACACCCACTGACGCAAAGGATTGTTCCAATACACACTAAACTCTTGTTTGAATAAGTTACTATTATTAAGAACTTGTTACACATTCGATCGAAGATCATTGTTTCACGCCTTTGCTAAAACATGTTAAACTTGTATGAAGTATATTATGCGAAGAACATAGTGTTTTTCTAGTGTCTGGGTGTTTATATATCTATAATAATATTAACAAAAGGAAAGTATGTTTATCAGTTACCTAGTGCCCACAGCTCAAGTTTTGCATATTTTGCAACTAGATGACGTTGTGTAAAATATCTTGAAATATTTTGTGTGAACGCGGTACTTCCCCGAACGATGCCATTGGCCCCATCCCATTAGACGTACGTCAACGTCCGCAGAGCGACCTCTACATGTACGAGGTGGGGACTGGCGAGTGGTCACTGGTGTGTGGCGACACCGCCGCCGCGGGGGGTCCCCGGCTGGTCTTCGACCATCAGATGTGTCTGGACGCCGACACGCAGACCATCTATGTGTTCGGCGGCAGGGTGTTGCCTGCTAACACGTGCGTATCAGTTACCTATACACTGCTCAACTCTCCCCTTCTTTGTAATATAAGATTTATTTTATTGTCCCATAAAGAATGGAAGATGCTAGAAAGTCGCAAATGTTTGCGAAGCCTACATGTTGTGAAAGGACCTGATCCTTAGGTCCTTATTGGTTTGTAGTATGACGTTTCTTAAACTACGTCACGCGTTAATATTCGTCTTTGTCTTTTCTTATTGCATATTGATTTTATAACGCTGGCGATCTATTATGTTTATTCCACACAACAAACTATCCCAAATGAATTAATTGGATTTTCATACTGTAAAATATTGACACACTGATTGATGCACTGTGCCATTTCTAGTGCACATTTTTCCGAACTACTTCTATTTGGATACTCCCTTTCAAATTAATAAAATGGTACCACGTTCCATATATTTGCCATTATCGACCAAATTCTACCCTAACTAGGTGAGTCCGTTGCGCAGTTGCCAAGGTATTTGTGGTATCATGGGTCGTGGGTTCGATTCCCACATTGGACAACTATTCACTTGAGCTTGACCCACATCTGTGGGTTACAAGAATGTTATTTAATTGTAATTGTACTCGTTCTGAGTGTTTATCCACGTGAAATTTATATATGTTCAAACATCCTTCCAACACAGGATAATGTATATCCTATAGTAAGCGCCTGTTTTTTTATTTTTTAATAAAAAAAAAATAACGCAGCGAGGAGCTGGTGAGCCCCCAGTACTCGGGCCTGTACGCGTACTACATCTCGAGCAACAGCTGGCAGCTGCTGCTCGCGGACCGCCACGACCTGCAGGCGCCCCAGCCCAGGGTCTCGCATTCGATGCTCTTCCACCCGGTGAGCCCATCCCGGTCACTTGCGTCACTATGTTTAAAAAGTATGCATTCTACTTGGACAATACAGTTGTCTTTTAAAACAGTATTATAAAATACATGAAAACTCAATATAAAAAGTCGAAAAAAATACATAGGATTAACAATATTATGGTTATTTATGAATAATGAAATAGTGTGTAAAATTTCTAATAGTTTTTCAGCAATTTTTTTATTAAAATACAGCCTTACACACACGCACGCACACAAGCACGCACATATACTTTATTAAAGATCTTTTTAATATCTTGACTACTACAAATAAAAAAAGAGGTGAGTACACCATAACACTTCCACTTCACGCCGGTCTTCTGTGATGTCTTGATAATTACCCGGATTTAAGTCGCCTACTGTTGCATGGCCTTACCAAAGTTAGACTTGTGTGCTTTCTATTATGTCGGTTTATTACTCCTCGTTAAATTTTATTACAGGCCTATATAGTCCGGGTACAGAGACCTCTGTTAGAGGATCGCTAAACTATCTCCTAACAATCTGATATCCGTCGGAATGCTATCTAGTCACTACATAGTATAAAACAAACAAAGTCGTCCCGCTGTCCGTCTGTCTCTATGAATGCTTAGTTCTCTAAAACTACGCAACGGATTTTGATGCAGCCTTTTCAATTAGATAGAGTGATTCAAGAGGAAGGTTTATATGTGCATTGCACCCGTGTGGAGCCGGGGCGGGTCGATAGTTGAAACGTAAAAGGACAGATGGCGCTGTTCTCAATATATTATATTCGGACGGAGGTGCGCTCTCAGGTGCAGCGGCGGCTGTACATGTTCGCGGGGCAGCGCAACAAGGAGCAGCTGCTGGACCTGTGGTGGTGGGACGTGGGCAGCGGGCGGTGCGGGGCGCTGTGCGCGGGCGCCGCCGCCTGCCCACCGCCCGCCGCCGGCTTCACGCAGCGCGCCACGCTCGACCCCGACACCGACGAGATGTTCGTGCTGTCGGTACGTACCGCGCTTGCACCGACGCCGACGAGATGTTCGTGCTGTCGGTACGTACCGCGCTTGCACCGACGCCGACGAGATGTTCGTGCTGTCGGTACGTACCGCGCTTGCACCGACGCCGACGAGATGTTCGTGCTGTCGGTACGTACCGCGCTTGCACCGACGCCGACGAGATGTTCGTGCTGTCGGTACGTACCGCGCTTGCACCGACGCCGACGAGATGTTCGTGCTGTCGGTACGTACCGCGCTTGCACCGACGCCGACGAGATGTTCGTGCTGTCGGTACGTACCGCGCTTGCACCGACACCGACGAGATGTTCGTGCTGTCGGTACGTACCGCGCTTGCACCGACACCGACGAGATGTTCGTGCTGTCGGTACGTACCGCGCTTGCACCGACACCGACGAGATGTTCGTGCTGTCGGTACGTACCGCGCTTGCACCGACGCCGACGAGATGTTCGTGCTGTCGGTACGTACCGCGCTTGCACCGACGCCGACGAGATGTTCGTGCTGTCGGCACGTACCGCGGCCCACCCGGACGACGATGAAATATTACATTTATTATTTTATTTATATCTTTATTTATTCAGCAATGTTAGAGTAGGTTTTTACTTAATGCACTTATTTATACTTTAGTGATTTTCTATCTAGTTATATATGAGATCAGTGGAAATTGGACAAAATAATCGACACGGAACTTCTCTCTCACAAGTACATACATGTCGACTTGAGAAAATTATTTTTAGTAATCAAAAACGTTTTGCGGCTCCAGTGAAAAACCACTGTTAATGTGATTGCAGCAGACAAGTTTGTTCACGTCGTTATAAAAGTGAGAGTTAGATGAACTGTGAAAGTAATATTGGTTTCTGTTCGCGCGCAGGGCATGAGCAAGGAGAAAGACAAGCGCGTGTACAACTCGCTGTGGGTGTTCTCCCTGAAGCGGCTGACCTGGACGTGCGTGTATCGGAACGACAGCGTGTCGCCGTCGGAGCCCAGGCCGAGGTTTGCGCACCAGCTGGTCTACGACCCCGTCAGGAAGGTACGGACACTTACCACCTGGGAACCTTCAAGAAGAGGGCACACTCTTTCTTTCTCCGGTGTTGCAGATGTTCATGGGCGGCTTATTTTATTTTATTTTCTATTTTTAAAACATTGCCCTTACTTTAGGATAACATTATCCTGTGTTATAGGGAAGTTTTACAAAAATAAATTTCACGCAGACAAACACCCAGATGCGAAACAACTATCCGTGGGTCACACAAATAGTTGTCCCGCGTGGGAATCGAACCCACGACCCCCGACGCCGAAGCCTTGGCAACTGCGCCACGGTGTCTCAAAAAACTTACCATCAGATAATGTTATACTACAATAAGGCGACAATTTTTTCGAACGGGGGACTGCTCCCTGCTATAGATCTTTCTATATTGCAGTGATTGTTGAGAGAATACAACAGAATCCGATTTGTCAAATATTAACTATTGCCAACTGATGACTCCCAAAGTTCTAATACGCCAAGAAAGATGTGTTTAGAAAAAAAAATCATCAAATTAGTGCTGTTTATTTTAATTTTGTATGCTTGAACTTCTTTAGAGAAAATGTTGTTAATTTATATTAGTCCCCTTGCCACTATCTCATATTGAAAAAGAAATATATGGACTTATGTACGCAAGAAGTTATACTTCTTAAGCGTAACAAGATGGGAAAATAACTAAAAATTTTATCTTCAGTGCCAGTAGGCTTTGTTTGTGAAAGAGACATGAAATGCAATTAAGGACGGTGAATGTCAAACAGCTATTGGTCGCCACGGTAGTAAGGTCGGTCGCCTTGCAACCAACTTCAACATGTCGCCGTCAACGAGCGCGCATGTGAAAACTCTAGCCTTATAATATTTTATCAAACGCGCCAAATCACTACATAGTATAAAACAAAGTCGTCCCGCTGTCTGTCCCTATGTATGCTTAGATTTTTTAAACTACATAACGGATCTTGATACGGCTTTTTTTTAACAAGATACAGTGATTAAAGACGTAGGTTTATATACAAATAAAACGTCCTTGAAGAAGTTTGTAGAGGGAGAGAGTTTAAATGGTTTATTAACACATATATGGTAAATTATGGCATATATAATGGTATAAAGAATACGCGGTATAAACAAATGGGCGGGGTGGGCCGCCAGTGGAGTATGGGTCGAAAGCGGGCGCGTTGTCATGTCAGGTCCACTACCTGTTCGGCGGCAACCCCGGCACAGCGAGCAGCCCGCGGCTGCGGCTCGACGACCTGTGGGCGCTGCGGCTGCGGCGCGCGGGCAGAGGCGCCGCCTGGCGGGAGGCGCGCGCCGCGCTGCGCGAGGCCTGCTACCGCGAGATGGCGGCCGCGCCCGACGCGCAGCCGCGCGCGCTGCTCTACCTGCGCACCGAGCTCAGCGCCGCCCTCGACCACTGCGACCCGCGGCAGGTGCGCCCCTGTTTTCTTCTGGCCGCTCTGGACCGCTGCGACTCCCGATGCGTGCGCCCCTGTTTTTCTTAAACCCTCATCGCTGCGACCCGTGACGGGAGTGCGCCTTTTTATTTTGGCCGCTCTGGACCGCAGCGACACGCGACAGGTGCGCCCCCTTTTCTTTTGATAATTCTAGACCGCTGCGACCCGCGACGGGAGCGCGCCCTTTTTTCTTTTGGCCGCTCTAGACCGCTGCGACTTGTGACAGGTGCGCCCCTTTTACGTGTATATTGTTTACGGGTCCAGATTGGGGTGGGGGCTTGTGACGCAGAAAGCTCAGCGCCGCTCTAGTCCACTGCGACTAGCGATTGGTGCGTCCTCTATTCATTTTTTGGTTCCTTCGACCCTCCGGTAATTATTTTAACACAATAATAGTTAAAATATGTAGAAAAAGTACGAAAAGATTGTCGCCGCTGTGGGAATCGAACCCATTTTTCTACATATTTTAATGTTCAATCTTAAGTGCAAAGATTAGCACTATAAACAATTTAAAATTTCTAAAAAAAGCAATGGCGACATCTCTCGTTCGAATTATCGTTGTAAAGCGATATCCGAAATTGTTTGTATGCTGGAAAGGATATAACAATAGATGGCGCCAAGCATTGCTTCAAATGCTAAGAAAACAATGTAGAAGAATACGTTAAGATTTTCGTCGGTGTGGCAATCAGCTGTTTAGCTCAGTGGCTAGAGCGTCAGGCCGCGAATGCCGAAGACGTGGGTTCGATTCCCACAGCGGCGACAATCTTTTCGTACTTTTTCTACATATTTTAATGTTCAATCTTAAGTGCAAAGATTAGCACTATAAACAATTTAAAATTTCTACAATAATAGTTTATGCGTGTTGTTATTGTTTCAATTAGATCTTCATAAATCGTTCGGTTGCAGGTGACGCAGTTCCAGAAGCTGGCGACGCTGCTGTTCACTGGCGGCGTGGGGGAGGCGGGCGGCGGGGAGGGAGGGGGTGCGTGCGCCCTCAGCCCCCGGCGGGTGCGCACCCTGGCGAGGCGCCGCGCCCGACACCCGCCCCCCGTCGACCTGGCGCAGGCGCTCGCTGCGGTCGGTACTCTCGCGCACTCCTCATATTTTGTCTCTTTCTCGCATCTCGTATATTTAAATGCGGTAGGGCCACGCGACAATGTTCGCTGTTGCACGACTGGGCCGATCCGTCCGGGGAACTACCACGACCTCAGAAGACCGGCGGGAAGTGGAAGGGTCGTACTTCTGCGTTTCGTCTTTTGAGTGAGGAAGCCGGGGCTCACTTTATTAAAAGGTGACAACTCATCTGCAACCTAACGGATGTTGCAAATGTCCACGTGCGGTAGTTATCACTTAATATCAAGTGAACCGCCAGTTCGTTTGCCACTTTCTCACATAAAAAAACCTCTTGTGTGTGGAAGCATCAGCCTATACGTCTCCCATTACTAGGCAAATGTCTCCTCTGTACAGAGGGTTAGGCCATAGGCGGTAGTAGTATAATAACAATTTTCTTGGTGCCGGCACCTGGGATCGAAGTCGAGTTGCTCGAATATATTCATTTAAAAGCGACCGCCCGGACAATGATACATTTCTTTTTTTTTATTCTCTTTATGTGACTTGTCCCTTGTCTTTTTTTGTCAACCAGCTTATTAAGCTGCAAACATTATTCGTTGTATTAAAACAAAAAGGGGTAAAAAAAAAGGGCAACTGTTGAGTTTCTTGCCGGTTTCTTCTCAACAGAAACCGGCATTACTTACGAACATATTAATTTTTATGTAAAATGTTGACGTTTCATAAGAACACGCAAGCGTCTATGTGAATAAATATATTTTTGATTTGATACGGCACACTGCGGAGTTCATCCTCAGCGGGCCTGCGAGATCGTTCCGTTCGGCAGGTGCTGGGCGCCGAGGACGCGATGCCGGAGCCCACGCAGCCGTTCGAGGAGGCGAGCGCGCCCACGCCCGACACGTGGGACGTGGGCGAGGAGGGCGACGCCGACGGGGAGGGGGAGGGCGGCGAGGGGGAGGGGTGCGGCGAGTGGGACGCGAGGGCGCTCCGCGTGCGCCTCTACGACCACCTCTGCCGCTACTTCCGCCCCAGCGTGGTGCCTCCCCGCCAGGACCTCACCGACCTAGTCGCGCTCTAACTGCCCCCACCACTTGTGGTATCACTGCATGCAGTATGTCCACGATACTCGACGCCGACGCCAACTCACCTCTTATATGAACTTGACCTGATCCCGTTATGATCGACCCTGTGGTACCCTTGTCCGGTCTACAACACGTGACCTGGACTGCCGTAATACAGTTCTCAGTGACTCAGTCGGCCGCTGAAGGGTTTTAATAGTTGGCGACATACTCTTGTTTTTAATTTAGTTGCCCATCTAGCCAAAAAGTAGACGCATTAACATCGATAACTATTTTAGACCAACAATAGCATTAAAATACGTAGAAAAAGTGCGAAAAGATTGTCGCCGCTGTGGGAATCGAACCCACGTCTTCGGCATTCGCGTAGCATAGCGTAACAATAGCATTATTAATACTGACAGTTTTTTCGAAATTTACCTTATTAGTTGGTTCGGTGGCGCATTTTCTAAGCGTATAGATTTCGGCACCAAGTGGTCGTGGGTTCGGTTCCCGCACGAGACAATATTTGTGCGTTTCCTCAAGGAGGGTTTACTTCAGGCGGCTGATCGTAAAAATTATCACTTATATTACCAACATCATAAACAGCACGGTACACGATACAAGTACAGTTTTCGCCAATTCTAAAATTTCTGTTGCAAGTAGCAGTTAATCACACTTGTTGGGCGTACTGGAATCATGGACATATTAAAGAAATTTCGACTTCGTGTGTAATAATAGATTGTTATCAATGTAAATTATTGATTGTATCCCTGTTGAATGTAATACGCGCAGAATTTCATTTGAAAATATGTAATATTGAGCTCAGGTCTGTCGCATATTATAAAATACCTACTTCTACAACTTTTACCGTCGAGAAAGTGCACAGATTATGTTGCATCTCTTCTCCAGATTTCACCTAGGATAATTTGTATTTATTTTGGAATTTTCTAGTACAGTCTTATCTATAAAGAAGTTCGTTTTTCTTTCTCGATTGGTATAAGGCTCAAGTATTATTATTATTGCACGTCGTACATTTGCTTAGAATAGCCCGTGTATAATATCAAAATATTATATTTTAGGTCGGCTAGTTGCCGGTAAATCATATATAACTATATTCGGTAAAAAAACGTATATAGAGTATTTAAGTTTGTATTCAATGCAAATAATCACAACATACATTGTAAAGATTGAGAATTGATTTAACTCTCAAAGAATACTACCGCCATGACGCCTTCATTTGTTGCACTTCATTGTTTAATATTTCAAGTGTAAGATAGATAAAAATGACATATTCGTATCTCTAACGCCGGTTAGAATATTCAATCTACACATAGATTTGGTTATACTGGAGATAGAATTTTGACATTAGCCCCATAATATTTACGTCAAAATTCTATCTCCAGTATCTCCCCAAATCTATCTGTAGATAGAATATAGAAACTGACCGTTAATCATTGATAAAACTTGTACGTTACACAGTATCCATAATTTTATTATCATTAATATAAGCTGTTGATTTTTGTTCATAAGGTATATATATTTTTTTAATAGACAATTTTCATTAATTAATTCTGACGTATTCGTATCTAGTTATAAAAAAGAGAAAGCTTGGTTTAAACATTAACAATAGTTCAAGTCATCCAATTTTTTTGACATTTGGCTGGATTTTATTTGAAAAAAAAAAGGAAAAAAAAGAAAATTTCTGTAAGTAAAGAATCGAATATTTTTTAATAAGTACAATATCACTGAGGGTTGAGATCGCGCTCAATATAAACTTAAAAAAAAGGATTTTTCTCGATAAGTTGCTTAACACGTAATTTCAAACAGTTAAAAATAATCTATGGTCTAGTCATAAACTTATGTTCATAAAGGTTTGTATTGTATGTTAAAATAGAAACATGTAAAAATCTGTTCACCATAGTGTTCCATAAAATTTTTCTATAACAGAGGCTTTTTAATTTTTAAAATTTTTGTAATATATGTAAATAGATGTTCCAGTAAAGTCTTGTTTTTTACAGACTGTGATATCAATTATAATTAATTACGGCAATTTTGAAAACATTTTTGAGTCTGATTAGAACGTCATACGACATTTTATACTTTTCCATGGTTTGATATTTCAGCTTTTTCATCGTGTTAAATGTAAAAATGCAAAAAGAGTTAGTTATAGTTGTTGCTGTTCACATAATTAATTTCTCGCGTTTATGTGTAACTCAATTTCCAATGCAGCGCGTACTATTTTCTCTCAATTTGAGCACTTCATGCAGTTATATACGAATCCTATGGTGACTATTAGTACGTTAGTATATTAAATGCAGTAATGACTGGGACTGAAGTTATGTAAAAATTATGTTCGAATAATTGTTTAAATGTCAATCATGTAAGAATAAAGGCCCATTTACATGGTGCCAGTTTCTTGCCTGTTGTATACAATTAAATTGAAGCAATAAATGAGTTGCATGGTCTAAACAACAAATGGTCTAAACAATTATTGCGCGCAATTTATTGCATTCAATTATTGCTCTTGTATGTTCAAGAAAATGGCATCGTGTAAATGGGCCTTAACTGTCTCGTAAATTAAGTTGCAATTTTGAAGTCTACAAGATTATTCTTTAATCTCATGCATTTAAATGTTTCAAGAAAACTTTTTCCGCATTGTTTAATAAATTTTATAATTATCACAGGATAATGTCTTTGGAATTGTTAGGTAAGTGTCAGAATTGTAATGTTTAGTTCTTCAACTCGGTAAACATAAATGGTACCACATACAAATACAGTAGTAATAAGTCTTTTTTGCTTTTAAACGGGTAGCAGATATACAAATGATACCTGAAATACTCTAGTAATTTAATTTATATTTTAACGCACCGTTTAGTTGTGGTTATTGTAAATACAATATAACTTAAGTCATTGTATGGTCATAAGTATGTCATCTACGTTGGCACGGGAATAAATGTCAGATTAATGATGTCTTGTTTCACTTTCCCTCTCTATTTATTAAAAATAAACAACATATTAAAATAAAAAATCTAGGCGAGCAAATGCTAATGTTGTAATCAAACTTACGTGCAATAATAATTTCATCGAATTTAAAGGGTAGAATAAAACGCAGCAGTTAAATATATCATATAATATTCTGGTACATGATCCAAATCAGTCATTGCGACAACACGGCGTGCCCAATTTATTGAAAACAAATCCCACTTGTGTCAGCCATGATATGTTCCCGGGCCTGTTTCATTCCATCTGGCGTTGAATATGGAATATATTTAAATATTATGTAGGCAACTATAATTTATACTCTCGAAAGCTCGTGCGTTACATTTAAGATGGGTTTCGAATATGCAAAGACATGTAATCTGGTAGATTCTGGCTAATGAGCGCTGCAAAACATTTAAATAACACGAGTGGCCATCTTGTGACTGAAACTAGAACGTGTTCTATCACCGCAAAGTGAACCATCAAACTGTGCATTTAGAGTCGACTATGGAACAATGAGTTAGTCAGCTACAGAACAAATGAAACTATAAAATACGAGTGGGAACAATCATGCTACAAGTTGTCGATCGTTCTGAACGTGTCATACAATAAGGTAGCGGGCAATTATATACTTTCCAACATTTAAATAATAAAAAAAAAACATTTCTCCTGTATTACATATAAATAATAACTATGCCTAAGCAAAATAAGTGCTCTAAGTGTTATGTAAACAATATATAGAAAATATTTGGTTAATCGCTCTTAATACCACCACCGGCGAGTGGCAGCAGACATCGAGCGCGTTCGCCCAATCGAAAAAAAGAATACTGAAATATTGTAATATGGAAAAATGCGGCGACGCCACGCCTCCCCGCATTCATCATATAGTCAGTTGCACCTCAATAAATCTAACAATACATCTGAAAATAAATAGTCAAAATATTGCATAATACAAAAAAATACACTGTAAACATAAATAATCAAAATATAAAAGCGCCAAAAGAGTTGACGCAGTGATTGGAAACTAAATGTATATAAGGGCGAAAAAGGCTCCCCTCACAACCAGTGACAAAAAACAGTTTTCGCGCCATAATGCGAATGTAACGCAGACTTCGCACAAATTGCGCCGATGGCTTCGCAAGACACGCACAGTAGACGTGTGCACGTATATATCAGTGACTAGACATAAACTATACATTATTGATGTCTGCTGCTAAGCTAGAAGAGAAAAGGAAGGGAACAGTCGTAAAAAAGTCGGAAAAAAAATACCATCTAATACTAATCGATCGGTAAGTTCGTCGCTTAAGTACACGAAGAAAGGATCTACGAATAAAGCTAGCCAATACCATCTAAAAACAATAAATGCAAGCCTATGGTCCTAGCGGGCCGGCCCGCCGCTTTTAGCTACGCGAAAAAATTACACTATACTCCATATTGCAAACGATTCCACTACGCGCCGCTGGAGGGCGTTTAAGATAAATACCTAAGAAGTATACTTGAAGGTTAATGTAATAACTACGCCTACTTCTAAACCAGTAAAAATACCTACGAAAGGGCGAGTGCCCGCACTACATGGAACGGTCGAACTAGCCTATGTCCAGTGAGACGCTAAAAGAGTGACGACCACGTCATCCGTCGGTTTCACGCGATCTTATCACGGGAAGCTGCGAGCATCGCATCCGATAACGTAAACAGTAAATAATCAATAATAAAACACTCGTAACACTTCAATAATCTCGTGTAAATTTTCGCCTTATCAATATTGCGCCGGTCGGGCCCCGCTGAGCAGGGCTTGAGCAACTTGCGACTCGTCCGTCGTTGCCGCGAGGGGGCGCTTCCAGTGTGGGGCCCGGCGGCGCTGGACAGGTGGACGCTGTGGCGAGGCCACGGGACGGCAGACAGCGTCGAGACGGCGGAATTCGTGTGCACCTTGCCCTTTGCCCAACATTGGCGAACGCGCCCTATTGGCGTTCGGCCAACATTGGTGCCAATGTTGGCGAAGGACGCGATTAAACGCGCCGTATTGGTGCATACATTGCGACATTTGGAACCACAGAATATTATTACTCTATGTGTCTCTTTTGATTGGAATCACGTTGTACAGCAAATGACTGGACTGTATGAATGGACGATTGCATTCGCCTGTTTGTCAAACAGTTCGTCGAATATTTTGCCATATACAACAAAGTAACAAATGCGCGTGCACTATACGCCGAATGCATTGCTGAAGGCAGCGTGCACACGAACGCGTCCATAAACAGAACCGACTACAGAGTCGCAACAGTCTCAACGTTACTTTAACAAAACACAAATACGGAAACACTACGAATATAACTAGAACAAGATGGACGAAAGTATTCGGCAGAGGGCCACAACAACACAACAAACTAGAGAATATCAACTATAGAACAGATTACATAGTCTTTTTGCGCACATAATGGATGGACATCGACGAATATGTATCTTATTTTTGTTTCTCCCCCTCATTTTAGATTTCATTTTCTTGGACGTACTAAAACATTCGTATCGAGTAAAGGATTTCATAATATGTACATATATGCGAAACACGTATCACGATTTAAATATGTATATAATTTAAAAAATAATGTTGCACGGTTGTCGTTATCCTGTTTAAACCACTGGCATCGTCGTAGTAAATATTACAATGGTCTCGCGCTGTCAAACCGCGGTATCGGAAACTCTCAACAGCGAATCGACGGCGCTATATGCTTTCGCGTAATAAAATACACCAATCAGTTTTACAAAAATACACATCGGAATATCGCGTCGTGCATAGAAATTGGCAAGGAGGAAATCTGTAAATATGAAAATAGGGGTGATAAGTAGATAAATAGGAATGCACGAGATATATAAATAAGTCGGGATGGTTGGGCAAGAACTGCTAAGGGACATCGGACGAAACCACAACAACAACAACGCGGGATCTCAGGCCCTCAACGCCGGAATTCCGGCGGGCTGCGCCCCCGCTTTTTAATCAGTCGACTCTCACACAACACCTACAAGGATAGGGCGCTTTACGTTACCCTAGACAAAGTGAAGTAGCCTAAACACTCCTCGTCTCCGAATACATCGTAATCGGCGACGCTTACCCCCGACGCTCATAGAAGACGCGATGAGCCTCCGGCGCGTCAGATCGGGGGCAACGGACGGCTCTTGAGCTAGCACGGCTTTCTGACCCCGCAACCATTAATCATCGCGGCGTGGAGGGGCCGGGGGTGGGCGGGCGAATCGCGCCGCCGCACAGTTTGACGGTTCACGGCGATGGGCGGGGCTCACGGCGCGACCTCCCCCCCACTCCGCGCCCCCTCCAAACCGCTTACGATAAACAACTAGTATTAGAAAACGTACAAACAATTTAGTCTCCTAAAAACCACAGAGTCCGAGGGGGCGAAAGCGTGCCCCGCTCTCGCCTCACGCACCGTGTCTTCACCGCAATCCCTCTTTAAAACGACGCACGCAGTTGCGTAGTTTGAAAACAAGGGGTGAAGCCCAAAGCGAGGCTCCCTCAAATGCTACGTGTGATCGAAACCAATCGCTGCTACAATACCGATGTCCTTCGCGATGACGATACGCACGGTATATTTTTCACACGTTCGAATTCGTTTATGTTCGACACCACATTCGTTCGTTCGGCGGTCGACGTCCAACGAATTGGTCCACACGCGGCCTTCGGCGGTTGCCGAGGAAAGTTTTACACTATAAATTCGTTTGTGACGCGAGCGACCACCCATTCGGCGAGGTGTGGCGCCGCGAGCCAGAGCGCTCGTGCTGGGGCACCACGAGCTCGGGCGCCACTAGCTGGGGCGCCACTAGCTGCGGCGCCGCGAGCTGGCGCGCGGGCGGGCGCCTAGGGGATGCGCGTGGCGTGGCGCAGCAGCGCGCGCACAGCGGCGGCGGCTGCCTTCAGCGCCAACACGAGTCGCTAGAAGTCCCTTGGCCGCGCGCGCGGAGTGCCCGCCGCCTTGGGCACGCGCCGCGTGCGCATCTCGCGGTCCACCTGCCGACGCCAAGCATACGGTGAGGTTATTTATTTATTTATTTATTTTGTATGTTTCAGATTTTCACAATTGAAATGAAGCCACTTACAATTTTCCACTATATGATAATATGAAATAACTATTTATAGGATACAGGACGAAATTACGAGCTTAATTAAGATCCTTGTAGGTCATCATCAATTCATCCACCATCACAATAGGAAACATCACAAATCATCTACAATCGGCTCGACATAAAAAAAGATTGATTTGATTTTTAAGCTGCAATACATATGTCATGATGCAAAGCAATTTGTTTCCAAGTTTTAGGTTCGGAATTAAAAATACTTATTTTGTAGAGAATACTTTAACAGCAAAATAGTAGTTCAATTAGGAAACGTCGCACCTCTAGCTCTTCCAGGCGCTGCGTGAGCGTGAGCTTCTGCTGAACGGCGAGGCGCAGAAGTTGGTTGAGGGTCTTCTTCTCGTCCTCTGCGCTGGCGAGCGCCTGCGTCAGCTCGTCCACTTGGGTCACGTACTCCTCGCAGCGGGCGGCGAACATAGCGCGGAGGCCTGGCGATATTTATGAAAAAAATTTCATTAATAAACATTCACATTGTTCTATTTTATCTATTTTTTAATTTTAAATTGTAGATAAATGAAAATAAAAAACTTTCGGCGATGCGGGATTTGAACCCGCGTCTTCTGGTTTCGCGCCCAGACGCTTTAACTAAGCCAAGCAGCCGATGACATCACGGCGCGTAAATCTTGACATCTGTCTACGTTCTAACTATTTTTTATTGCATTTTTTTGTGTGAAAGTGTCAAACGATATGACGGCTCACCTAATGTTAAGTGATAACTGCCGCCAATGGACATTTACACCACCTGTAGGGTTGCCAGATAACGCATCTGTATCTTTAATAGAGCGGGCCTCGATACCTCACTCACTAGACGAAACGCAGAAGTGCAATACTTCTACTTCACGCCGGTCTTCTGTGAGGTGGTAATTACCCGGACGGACCTGCCCATTCGTGCAACATAACCACAGCACCATCTGAAACTGATGGCGCAGTCGCCAAGGTATCGTCTTCGGCGTCGGGGGTCGTGGGTTTATATTCCCACACGGGACAACTATTTGTGCGACCCAAAGATAGTTGTTTCGCATCTGGGTGTTTGTCCGCGTGAAGTTTATGTTTGTAAAAACGTCCTTACAGCACAGGATAATGTTATCCCAAAGTAAGGGTGTGTCAATGTTTTTGAACAAAAAAAAAAACTCCCGGCCCGGGTCAGATATAGATAGTTGAATCGACAACTCACTGGAGAAGGTCGCGGCGTCTTCCTTGAGTAGTCGCAGCTCGTTCCTCAGCTTGAGCATCGTCTCCGTGACGATGGTCTTCTCCGTCTCGTACTTGGACTTGAGATTGGCGAGCGCCACCTCGGCGGTGTTCTTGTTGGACTTGAGCACGGTGCGCAGCGTGGCGATCTGTTCGCGCTTCGTGGACAGCAGGGACTTCAGCTTGATCACCTGCTCCTGGAGCTCGGCCAGCTCGGCGCCCCGTTCCTCCGCCTCCATCACTGCGGGAGGGATTTGGGTTGAAGCGACCTTGACACCGGCCTAAGGCGAGGGTACAGGCGGGCCGGAAACTAAATGCTCCCCCTGGCATCTCTTATCGTCGAGTGCAAAAGTCTAGTTACAAATCAAGCAAGAAATACAACTCCGTAAAGCCATTAAACGACGCTGTTCGCAATTGTACGTAAACATGAAGTGTTAAAAAGAGATGGAGCTATTTGGAATGCGTCGTAAACGAGACAGCAATACCGTTACCTCGCACCATTCATGCAGCCGCTCGTATACCTGTAACTGAACAATGGCTTGGAAGAACTTCAGGGCCATATTGAAGTTTCTCGGATAAATACGTATTATGGCCATAGACGTCGCTCTGCTGTTCCCAGGAGTTATTATATAATCTATGGGTTACCGTGGCGAAAGCTTGCCCGCGTTAAAGTTGACCCAAAAGGTTCAAAAAAGTTCGTTCCAAAAACGATTCGCGTTCAAAAGCGAAAACGTTGAAAAAAGGTTGTGTCGAAAAAATCTATTCTGTAAGCATGGTCAATTCCATCCGTCAAATGAATAATGAATGACAATACCACTAAACAGACGTCCAAACAATCTATAGATTAGGATTGCCAACGCACTATGGTATTGGGATCTCTGCATAATAACATTTAGTAAAATATATGGACGCAAAAATACTATTTTTCCGCTAGATGGAAAAATCTTTATTCTACGATACCGAAACTGATGACAAATAAATTCCTTAATTTTGAAATTAGTTTTATAAGTAATTTAAAAAAAATGAAAAAGAGAAAGTATAAGCTTTTTTTCCTCTCTTTATTTTATCAATAAAATGCTATATTTTTGATGTATGCTAATTTTAAAAGCTTATTTTGAAAAATACTTTAATCAGCTGAAGATAGTAACAAGTACTCACTAACAAAGTAACCGCACATTAAGGGAAAAGTTTGTGGTTAAATTTACAAAAACTACTCGTAGTGTTAATTGTTCTCTTTGTATGTAGGTATATAAATTTAAGACTACACAAATGTATTCTAGTTATGTTTCATCTTTTATGTTGTTTTAAAAAACAACTACACAGAATAGCGATATTTAACATAGTAATAGTTACAATGACTAGGAATTAAGTAATTTTACTTTCGGCTGTACCATATTTAACCAAATATTAGTAATTACATGAACTCTAACTACTCGAGATTTACTAATACTTTGAATAATAATATACTATTTAGCGTCTTACATTTTGCCGTCCTCAGCCGATAATTCACATAACGTATTGTAACATCAACATGCATGCAATGAAACTCGACTTCAAAGAGTCCCTCAAGTTATTCAAGACGCTTTCATTTCCCTTCTTATCTAAAGTCATGCTATTCCTTTTCAATTGAGCAACCGTTCCATGCAGAAACGATTCTCTCCATGCGTTATGGTAATCGTCTTTAGTTTGTGAGTTTTTTTGCGTAGCGAGACGTTCGACTTTGCTCTTTATAACGCAGTGACTAACGTTCTTTTTCCCGTGACAATTCATATTATATGTGTCATTGTTTGCGGCTACCGTTTTAGTGTTGCCGTTCGTTATGTTCTCGTAGTACTCCGCGATTTCTTTAACCGTTTTCCTCGAACGACTGTCAATGGGACCGTCAGTGGCTTCATTCCTAATCATTTGCCATGAGCTCTTTATGAGGAGCTCTTGAAGCTTTCTCATGGCAGCGGCTTTGAGCTCGGCGTTGTGCTGCTCTTTTTGATTTTTATCGCAACTTTCAAACGGTTCTTTGGGCGAGACGGCTGGGAAATAATTGAATAATGTGATTTGAAATCGATAGAAAGTGAATTAACGTAATAAAGAGATCTGATTTTGTCGAATCGATCTTGACACATTCACTTGTACCACGGGGGTGATACCTGAGCGTTGGAATGCAAGAGGGTCACGATTAAATTGATATTATTAACTTTTTAAAGGGGATAGTCCATAAAAGGTTGGACGCAGTAGAATGGTGTATCTGAATCGTAGACGCAGTGAGCGCTCTTGTAGCGCGATCGTAAGCGTAGCAAACATATGTGCGTAGCAAACGTAGAAGAGTAGCAGGCGGAGTAGCGTAGCAGCCGTAGATGTGTACCGGGCTGGTGGCGGTGGCGCGAGTCGAGCGCAGTGTCGAGGGCGGCGCGTAGATGCGTCAGCTGGTCGAGCAGCGTGTCGGCGGAGCGTGCTACGTTGCCCGCGGCTCGTAGACCCTCCAGCTCGCCGGCCGCCAACGCTAACGCCTCCTCCTCCACGCTGCGGCCTTCCGCGCCGGCGCCTGAAATTCCGTTACGCATTATGAAAACAATGCTCTATACCTCGCAAAGAGTTCCCTAATGTGGTCCGTGGCAGTTCTCACTGCTCCCAACTAATAAATAGTACAGGCGACGACCGTCGATGTCACGTTCCGCATGCCGGACCTCAGCGGCCTGTGGCCGACAAAGCTCTCATATTGTTAGTACACGCATGTCCACGTATACTTATGTATGATCTATAATGCTTGGTGAAACGTAGACTTTCCACGAGCTCCACGCCTGAGGAAACTTTATAGTCTATGCACTGAAAACGCAAACATCTTTTTTTACTGTGAGAATGAGGCAAACGAGCTGGTGGATCACCTGTTATAAGAAAACTGTCGCCCATTGACACTTGTATCACCCGTAAGGTTGCAGATGCCAGCTTTTAATAACAAGGGCCCCAGTTACTTCACTTACCAGAGGAAACGCAGAAGTGTAACATTTCAACTTCACGCCGGCCTCTGTGAGGTCGCGGTACCCACCCGGACGGAGCTGCCCATTCGTGCAACAGCGAGCACTGTTGCCTGCCGCAGTTTAGACAAAGTCTAGATTGGGGGTAGTTTATAGCATAAAAAAGTTACCGTCTTGGTGGCCCGCGTGCTCCAGCAGCAGCCGCTCGGGCTGCGTGCCGTTGACCGCGCACACGTGGTGGTAGAGCTGCGCGAGCGTCTCCGCCGCAGAGGAGAGGGCGGGCGCCGCACTCGCTAGCGCGCGGCCCGCGCCTGCGCGGGAAACGGAGGTCTGATTAACACTCGGAATTTAATGAAACTTTACAATAATATAGCTGTCACACATAGGCTATAATTTATAAAGATAAAAGAGTCTCTCAAAGTCTATCTGTTACGCATTCAACGACAAAACCAGTTTTGATGAATTTTAATTAAAGATGCACCTTGGAGGAGAATATAATAAACTGCAGGTGAACAATTCGTCGCCTAATAGATAACATATACATAAGTACAAGCCCTGCCCAACGCATACATCCCCAATAGACAACGCATGTATGAGCAGGTATTCACAACATCTACCCTACGTGTCGCGCCGTATCAAGTTCTGTATCCGATGGACCTTTAATAGTTAACGAAAGCAGAAAAATCCCTCATAGGCAGAGCCTTGGAGATCTCCCGAGCGGAAAGCGCAAGCGTCCTACAAGCTCACCGCCGGCGAGCGTGCGCAGCAAATCAGCGTCGGCCTCGAGCGCTGCGCAGCGCAGCTCCGCCTCGGCCACGCGGTCGCTGAGCTGCGCGAGCGCCTGCCGCTGCAGCGCCGCGGGCGAGCCGGGCGCCGCGGGGGCGCCGTTGAGCTCGGCGAGCGCGCCCGCCAGAGCGCTCAGCTCGCCGCCCGACACGCGCCACCACGTCAGCCAGCGGGCGGCCCGCGCCGCCACGCCCCCCTCCGCCTTCTCCTCCTTCTCCTCCTGCACATGGCGTGAAGTAGATGTTGCGAAAAAGAGCTGAATGTGATTAAACTGACAGCTTTTGATGTATTAGATAGTTTAACGTTGCCTCTATTAGTTTTGGTAACGCGCCGGGTCGTTAAGGATATATTCAATTGTCAATTAAGAAAAATCACACACACACACACACTAAATTGAATATAATATCTCAGTTCGCTTGTCATCTTCTCAAGAAAAAAAAACGTGGGTGTGTTTGTGTTAAATGCAATTGCTTTTTAATTAAATAACTACGATTATATTTAAATGTCAAAAAGCTGTTATCGGTAGCAATGATAACATCACGGCGTCGCACGGTGTCCCAAACGAGCCAAAACAAGAACTTTAAAAAAAACAGAAAAACGTTACCGCGGGCGCGCAGTCCGCGTGCAGCGCGTTGAGGGCAGAGACGCGCGACGCGACGCGTATGAGGCCGGCGCGGAGCACGGCCGCCGCGGCGCTCTCGCTCTCCGCGGTCGCCTGCGCGCTCCGCATCGAGGTGCTCAGCTGGCTCTGCGGGGGAAAGTCGACTTTGTTACAAAATACTTAAGGTTCAGAATATTTCAAAGGCTAAATTAATTTGAGACTATTTCATTATCATCGGTTCCTAATATTAAAACACTCGATATCTTAGAGGGAACTGTAAAATCTACTTATTTTAAGATTTCAATAACATTAACTACATGATACATACGCAATGTGCGTTTGTATGTACTAGACACAAGGACACATTCAAACTGGGAACATAGTCGTGATGCCAATGTCAACTGTGCGTCTTACGTTCTCGTTGTGCGCCTGCTCGAGTTGCTTCTCGAGTCGCGATATCTCGTGCAGGTGGACCTCGGAGAAGAGGTCCGCGTGGTGGTCGCCCATGGCGCTGGCCAGCTCCGCCGACGAGGAACCGCCCGGCTCGCCTTCCTCCTCCGCACTGTCTTCTGGCATGCCTGCAAACGTATACGAGCGTTTATGGTCTGCAATGTCGAACACAAAGGTGCCCTTTTTCTTCTTTTATGTGAAAAGTTGCCAAGCGAGTAGGCCGCTCACCTGATTTTAAGTGAATACCGCCGCCCATGGACATCTGCTACACCCGATGGTTACAGATGCGTTGACCTTTTGAAAATTGGGCTCCGGCTACCTCACTCACCAGACGGAACTCATTTATTACACTTCCACTTCACGCCGGTCTTCGGTGAGGTCGTGGTACTTACCCGGACGAGCCTGCTCATTCGTGCAACAGCCGCGGCCCTACACACACACGGCACAGTCTTCTTTTCAGCCCAAAATTCAGCCACAAGAAGTGCACTGTGAGATCATTAGTTATTAGAACCATTACTCTAGGGCTTCGCCGACGCCTACCTCGTATGCTGTAGGCCAGGTTGGTGATGTTGTATGCGGCCTCCCTGCTGAGGTGGGCGTCCAGCTCCTTCTTGGCGGCGAACTTGGCCTCGCGCTCCGCCTGCAGCGCTTCCAGCGCTTCGGCCAGCTGCCGCTCGGCGATGCGGCGCAGCGCTGCAGTTTCGTCAGCGGCTGCTCGCGCGTTCTCCGCCTCCTCGCGCAGCTGTCGCACCTCATGCTTCAGCCCCTCGAACTCGACCTGGAACGCGTTAGGTGGAGGTTATGGTCACGTTTTTTTTTATATGACAAAGTGGCTAACGAGCTGGCGGTTCAGCTGATGTTAAGTGATCACCGCCGCCCATGGACATTTGCCACACCCGTGGGGTTGCGGAAGCCTTTCAATAAAGTCGGCCCCGGCTACCTCACTCACAAGACTAAACGAAGAAGTGTAACACTTCTACTTTACGCCGGTCTTCTGTGAGGTCGTGGTACTTACCCGGACGGACCTGCCCATTCAATTCACATTTACGCAATGGTAGGGCAAGGAGAACGACAGGTCTAGATAAGTGGTGTTTCTGTAATTATTTCTCTAACGTGTTGGTTTCCGTCGGAGTGCCATGGCTCACGTGGCTCTTCAATTCAATGAACTAAACGCCGTTGCAAACTGTTACGTTTAGCGATTGACGAAAAATGACGAGTTGACCAAATTAATTTTTTCATAAAAATCTCTTGTAAAGAAGGTATGATATTGACATTTTTTTAAATGAAAGAATTCTTTCTTAAAGGATAATTTTCGCCGATGACGCATTATTCGGTGACTGATCACAGAACCTACTACGCGAAAGTTAAATTCATTGATGTCGTTAGAGTCAGTGAAGGGGTTTTTTTTTTGGATGATTCAGTGGAAATTTATGTGTGTATAACATCCTTACAAGACCTCCCTCGTTATCGTACAGCAACAGGGACGTTTATAAAAAAATGGGACAAAGGCGGCTCATCCTTGGAGCCATAAAGCTCGCTGCCATAACAATCTAGGGTTGTTCCCTCTCACCTGGGATGAGCGCAGCGCCGAGACCTGCTTCTGCAGCGATATGTTCTCGTCCTCTAGGTCGCCGATGTCGACGAGCAGCCGCTGCTCCCGCTGCCTGGCCTCGCGCAGCTCCGCTCTGAGCGCGGCGCGGTCCGCCTCCCGCGTCGCCTTGTCCGCGCCCAGCTCCGAGCTCTCCGTCAGCAGGCGGTCCCGCTCGCTCACCACCCGCTCCAGCTCGTGGCGCAGCTGCCGAACGGTTTTTTTGCAGTGAAACTTCCAATGGGACTTATTTATTTATTTAGTCTTTATTGCATTCGCTTTAATACGGAACACAACAGGCGGACTCAATGCCTTTAGGCATTCTCTATGGTGTGGTGAGATCAGGTGCCATAATAAAACTAAGTTAAATTAGAAAATAATCAACCAAAACAGTAATAAAAGTAAAATATACATATATTTAGAAATTAAAATATATCTTATCCTTTAAACGAGCAATTCTTGTATATATATATAATCGCAATCTCGGAACGGCTCCAGCGATTTTCATGAAATTTAGTATGTGCGTAGATTCGGGGGCGAAAAAACGATCTAGATAGGTTTCATTTTTAGAAAATGTCCTTTTATCCCTGTTTTCAGGAAATGAAAAATATAATTCGAATATGACGTTAAATTTCGCCGCAAGAGAAAATGTCATAATAGCTCGGTCGGTAATCGGGCGGCCCCAAAACAGAAGGCCGTGGTTCGCGTCACGATCATTTACACATTTATTTTTTTACTTTTTTTCGAATCCAGATCATTACTTTCTTTATTTTTAATTTTTTTGTCGATTTTTTTAAAGTTATTTCTTTTGTGAAAAACATCACTTCATATTTTCTTATTATTACGTCGATAAGATCAAAAAATATGATGCATATTTCATTACTCAGTAATTTGTATTTAATTGTAATTTCCAAAATACACGATTTACCAAAAAAAAAACAAACCGAGCAAAGCTCGGTCCTCCGGGTACTAACTATATATACATACATACAGATACCTTATATACATATATATAATAATCTGATGGGCAACTTCCAACAAGATTGCGTTAAACGTTCAACGCTCCTGGGGAGGGGGAATGGGAAGAGACAGAACGAGGGTGAATGCGTGGCACTTGAAATTTCACTTCTCCCGAGCGACACTAGTGGACTGTGCAAATGCGCGGGAAAATGGATGCGGGTGGGCTCAGTATCGTGCTTCGTGGCAGTCTGTGTGGAGGGCCTTTGTTCAACAGTGGATTCAAACAGGCTGAAATCATGATGATGAGAAGGTGGCAAGCGAGCTGGCGGTTCAACCGAGTAAGTGACAACCGCCCATGGACATTTGCAACACTCGTACACTTGCTACCTTACAATAAAGCTGGCTTCGGCTGCCTCGATCACCAGATGAAACGTAGAGGTAGCACTTCGCGCTGGTCTTCTGCGAGTTCGTGGTACTTACCCGGACGGACCTGCTTATTTGTGCAACAGCGAAGACTGCTGCGTGGCCCTACCACCGTAAAAAACAAGTTGGACTGACAGGCGCGTTCGTTGCGGATCGGGTTGAAGAGAAACTTCAAAACTCGTGGCGAATAAATCATCTTTGACAATGCTCTTCTGGGTAAAGCGCCCAGGAAGAGGCGGGTTTGAATACCGCGGTACCGTGTGTTTTCGCCTATCTATCTAAAAAGTTCACATTTCATGTTTCATCTTGAGTGAAGAGACTGGCACTAAAAATAAAATTAATGACAGATTTCTCATTTTATACAGGCTTCTATAAAGCTCCGGCGATAACAAGTTTAATCACGACATAGATCGTTTAAAATGAACATAACCTTACGATCGTTGTTCCAAGATTCTTTGTTATAAGTTCGTTTGTATGACGATCCTCCATAATCAGATCTGAACCTTTAATTCAAATTAAATTAAGGCCATTTGCTTTAACTAAATAAAATATGATTTTGTACTATACTACGTATTTGATTTTTACTTCTATTCAAATGCGCAACAGAACTTTTTCAACTTAACTTCTGTGACGTGAAGAAACATTGGAATCTGAACTTCCAGTGATGATAGACGCTTTGAATAAATAAATAATAGATTAAAAGAAACTAAAAAACACGCTTTTGTAGATAACCGAAGTAAAAAGTAGAAAACAATTTTGATTAAAAAAAATATCGTAGAAAAGTGCAGGGTGAGATTAAGATTATAATGCAATAAGACATTTGCATTGTGACCACTTTTACCAGTATACTGTATATACTATCATTGAATTACTCTAATATTGTTATTAAAGTATTAATAAATAGCGAAACTGTTTATTACTTTCCGTTCACATTTAAAACTAGATCGCGCTAAGGCCACCTCTCTAGGGTCGTAGTGTGAAGGTATATTTACCATTTTTCTTAATGAACGAGATATCTATTTTAGCCATTAATCAAAGAAGAAGAAGAAGATATCTATCTTATGCAGTGATTTTATTAATCGGTTATTTTATTACAGAAATTTCGCCTACAAAACTGTAAACCCTACAATTTTATTATAAAATATGAATGTACCATAAAATATACACTACCGAGCATCTCTTCTCGATTTTAAACGTTTTGAAAAGTAAATTAAATACGACATGAAAGCACTCCATTCCTATTCAGTGTTGCTTTTTATCTTTCCATGCTAAAGCGGGTCGCATAAGTACAGTTTTTTTTTTTTTTCGTTTTATTTGAATTTAAATTTCCCGACATCGGCGCTTCGGGCCCCTATACAATAATCGGTGACCCATTTTAAAAGCGGTGGTACGAAGAGCGTAGCGCGTTTTTACTAAAGAGGGCCCGGCCCGGCTTATTTTAATCAACGAGATAGAACTTTCTAGTGCCAGTGGATGGTGCTAGAAAAATTACTAAAATATTACGCAAACGCTCCACTGGATTTTGTACCATCAAAACGACCTAGATTTCAGCTCGATCTACGGCTAGTGCGACAATTTTTTGCGCGTCGCTATTTTTTTAAATGCGATTTATAGCACTGGACTAATACTAAATATGGACAAGCGAGGTCACCTTCCACCTTGTGAGCCGTAAAGTTAGTCGAATTCAACATTAGACTCAGCCTTTTATGCGATTACATATAGGATTATATGTTTTTATATATAAATTCATAACGTTGGTTAGAAATATTAGAATAGTGTAACACGTATGAATAATGAGGATGTAATTCATAATGTTGATGTGGATAAACAAGAAATCATGAATAAAACTTTTAATAGACTTAATTATTATTTTGAAGCGTTATTTACATATAGTGAGCATTTGAACAAGTGATGTAGTCTTTATTTATACCAATACTAAACGAAAATTAAATTATGAAGTACCTAAACGGTTTGCTACGCTTTTAATTCAATATAATCAATTCAATCTCTGGTGCCGGCACCAATGAAATTGTTAATTTTAAGTGCTGATTTAACACTGGCTCAGCGGTGAGATGGTATTGTGAGGCATCCTGCATATTCTAAATAATAACAAAAAAAATATTTCGAAGATATATGAAGTCCGCCAATCCGCAGTGGGGTCGCGTGGTGGACTATTTCCTAATACCCTCTGTATAGAAGCCTTTGCCCAGCTGTGGGACATTTATAGGCTTTTACAATTACTTCCACTAAACGGTTTGCCAAATGATAGAATCATATGTTTCTAAGGTCGAAACGATCGATTAAAATATCTATTAATTCAAAAAAAACTGAACGTAATTTCAGATAAGCTATTCGTTTCGGTGAACGTGTAACCGATATGCATTATACATACACAGCATTCGTTTTATACGCGATTTGCTTATCTGTGAACATAATTCAAATGTTTTACTACACATAGAGTACGAACATAAAATGAATTAGGTGTATATTCATATATTCCATATTGTGATCACCACTAGAAATGAAAACTGTTTAATAAGAAAAAATTTAACCAATGTTTTTAATTTTAGATGAAAATATTACCAATAATATACAGCGTGTCGTTACCATCGCGACAATTAAGGCCCATTTACACGGTGCAAGTTTCTTGCCTGTTATATACAATTAAATTGAAGCAATAAATGAGTTGCATTGTCTAAACAGCACATAACATTCTTGACTGTTGAACAAGACTTGCTTCAAGTTTTGTTTCAAAACTTTCCTTGGTGTAAACAGCACACACAATAATTTCTTAAGCAATTCTTGTATTCAATTGCATTCTCTCTTCCTTTGCAAAAATTAGTGCAATGAGTGACGGTATTTAATCATTGCTGTTCTTTTGAGGATAGAAATATTGAGAAAAGGTCGTAAAAAAAGTTTGGATAAAAATATAAATAATAATATATGGATCATAGTAAATAAATCTCAATGAAATATATTTAATCGGCATAATCTAACTTGAACACTTATTATTGAGCCATTTTTAAAAAAAAAAACAGCCATTTGTAAAACGTTCAACACTTGCATGAAAAATTTGTCAACGCAAATACGTGCAATACTTGAAGCAACACGCCAATAAATTGTACACGCACATACAAGCATGTGTTTAGACAAGTCAAAACTTGAAAGCAATAATCGCCTAAACATAATTGCATTGGTGTAAACAAAAGACCTTTGCAATTATTTCCTGTGAAGACTTGCATTCAATAATCGCATTCAATTTTTTTTACTATATCTGCGTGTAAACTGTTACTTACAATTCTTGATGGTCAATTATTGCGTGCAACTTATTGCATTCAATTATTGCTCTTGTATGTACAAGAAAATGGTATCGTGTAAATGGGCCTTAAATGAACACACGTCTAACGCTACTTGCCAATAATCATAAAAAAATATTAACGTGAAACAAAATCCATAAATAAAAAAAAATATTTTTCAAACAAAGTAATTAAGTAAAAAACAAACAAAATTTGTAACATCCTATACAACTCGCGTCATAGCGTCGTATTACAAGCCTCTCCTTCTAACAGTATGTTTTGTCTCTTTTAAATTCATTCAACCCATTCATATGCTTTGTGACCTTTACAAATGAACTTTACGTTACGCTTTTATAGGTAAGGGTATTCTAAAATTCTTTGTTTTGGAAAATTTAATAACTCTGTAAATATTGATGTTTAAAGACTTTAAATGTTTAATACAACTTTAAAAAGTTATCCCCTATATGCGTGTTCATTTATTGTCGCGATGGTAACGACACGCTGTATATTACAATCTAAAGCCCAGTT